GATTGCTCGCAAGATTTTTCACCCATTTTGGGCATCCCAGACACAATCTCCGATGACCTACTATGCCCTTCGATTAATCGGAGGCGTCCTCCGAATAATCTGAGACTAGTCGCAAGATTCTGTGTAGGATTGGAAAATCAGGTTGAGATTCAATGTCTGCGAGTAGTCTCCGGCGCCCTCCGACTGAATCGGAGGCGCCCTGCGACGATTCGTACGGTGGAATCGTAGTAAATCGCCGTGTATATGAGGGCGCCTCCGACCGGATCGCTAAAAGTTTGAGACGCTCTTGCTGCAGGAGGCTGCCCACAAGGAGCCTCTGGGGCGGAATCAGCACCAGCTTCTCTGCAGAGTTGAAGTGACTGTTCTATGTACAACCAGATGAGGGATACCACGCTACAGTACAGTGTACAGAGAGAAATACAGATGACCGATGTCAGAAAACCCTCCTTTTCCCCCACATATACCCAGGGGGAAAAATTACAAGAAAAGACGCTCGCAGATATAGTCTCCGATCGCCTCCAATGCAATCGGAGGCGATCGGAGGCTAATCCCACGATTTTTCGACAAAACCGGGTCAAAATCCTTAAAAAAATCTCAGACAATGTGACTGCTCCACTTTTATTAGGATTATTGCTAGGATTGTTCAAGGATTCTTTATTTTCTACGACGACCCCCGGCCAAAACTAATCCCCGACAGATCGCCAACATTGTGACTGGGCCATAACTCCTTACGATTAAAAAAAAATCGTACGGACAATTTCGTCGCACGGAGCCAGTGTAAATGTAATCTAGGCTTAACAAAGTATGCAGCAACATGCCGTACTGTTCAGCACAGTTGCAAAACAGTACTGGGATCATATTCCAACAGGGTAGTTCTCGTTGCCATGCAGCACATAAGCTCAAGTTGACAGTGTCCTTTAATGGCAAGCATATTCTCCCGATTTATGATCAATTGAAAATCTTTGGGACCATTTGGGCAGACAAGTCGCCCAGAGGCATCCACCTCCTGTAAACAGGAGGAGGTATTTCAGGAGTAGTGGGACCGAATCCCATAAGAAGCAATCCAAAGATAAGAGCATGGCATGCGTCCGAGACTTGATGCATCTGTCTCAGCGCATGGAGGCCATATTCCATAATATGCCTAATATTCTGACTTTGATGGGGTTTTGAATCTCTCAAGCACACAACTATTGACTACATTTGAATGTCTTTACTACAGTAACGTTATGCAACCATAACAACATATTTTAATATCTCTCTCTGTCTCGTATGTGTTACTTTGATAATGAATTATAAATAAAATAGGACCCTCTGGAACATCAGTATAACAAACTAGTGAATTATTTTGCCTCCTCTTTTAAGTCACCATTCTAAGCAAATCGGCCTTCATACAACCTTTTTAGTCCGTGGTGATTTCTATTATTCAAACCATGTAGGCCTACAATATTCTCTCATCTAGTTGTTGATCTATATATGCAGAAGAATTGACTTTACAACATGATGATTGAATAATTCTGTCAGTAAAAGTCATTAAATTTATACGTTTGGTTTGGTTTTACACTCGACCAAAAAAGTTCGGAAACATCGTTATTTTGAACAATTATAAAATAACGATATTAGCTAAGGTAAATATTTTAACCAAATATTGATGGATAATGCACCCACCATTCGTTTTTTTTATATACACTGAATATTTTCCCTCTACATTACATAGTTTTTAATTATTGAAAAACAATTTCATGTTTCCAAACTTTTTTGGTGAAGTGTATATATATTGATGTTGGTATTTTCAGTGCTAAGGTTCGTGAGTTGGGCAAAATTGAGTTGGCCCACCGGTGAAAATTACTTGTGAGTAAGCGGGTAGTCAGTCGGTTGCACAGTGTCGTATTTATCGTAGAGAGAGTTATCTTGGAAACCTAACATTTTTTGAGAATTTTTTTTTTTTTTTTGTGGGGGGGGGGGGGATATCGTCAATTTTAACCTCAACACCATGTTATTCAACGAACTTGACAAACAAGTAGGCCTATTATTATGTTCCCTCTCCCTCTACATGCACTTGGGATATTCCTTTAATATTGTAAATTACCCTCCTGTATGTCAACAGTGATCAACCGTTTGAAATAATCTACAACCTTAGAATAGCTTACTTTGATATGAGATCCGCAGTAGAATGTGAAATTACCATGGCATGAACTACCCTGGCATATTGGGAGAACGTATTCGCAAAACGTGTTTTACTTCACGTCAGACATGTTAAACTGTTATCAGTGTTGGCATGGATGTTTGGTTTTTAGACAAGCATCAGCTTTGAGAATTCAAAAGTAATTTATAAAACCATTATTGCACAACAGATAAAGGCTTTGCATTAAGGCTTATATCTGAAATGGCAAAGTGATTACACATTAAAAATAATTGTCTTCTCGAGATGCCAGGCCAGTTAATATTGGGAACATTTCCCCTTAGGTTTTTAATGAACTGTTCACGTGAAATTTGTTGTCTTCCACATTTCGTTTTAGATTTCAAATTATAACCTGCTAATAAAGGCCTTTAATATGTTGTAGTGCGTCTAAATTTGTTTTACCGCATATAATAAAAGTAAAGCATGTAACTGTTGAAAGGGATGAAGAGATTTAATTCCCAGATATTATTTTAACTGCTTTTCTGCAAAGCAGACTGCAAGGCACTTCCATTTATTCTTCTAAAATACATTTATATCTAATGTCTCAATTATGGGCTCTCATGGTTGCCTTTTATACTGTCGGTATAAATCACAGATAGATTCGAAGAGATGTTGCGCTGTCTCAGGTCAAGCATTTTCAATGCTCTGTAGCAACGTATTCTTGGTCGAAGGTCGATCACTGAAAACAATACCATTGGATTAAAAGATTATGCCTAATCAACCTTTTTAATATACCTGACTTGGAAAATTTATGTAGGTTGGCGAGGGCCCGTTGAACTCTGGGATTGCATCTTGAAAGATGCTCAGGATCTCTAAAGATGTTCTCAACCGATTACATACCCTCTACCAGATATCACTATCACTAGATATTCACAGATAATGTCTCTGGCTAAATATGACCAATCTTCAAACTGTGACCCTGTTCTGAAATCTCTATGTTGATTACATGGCTGATAATTGTGTGCATAACTTATATCAGGAATTGTCACTTAACTAAGTACATTGTAACAACTAACAATACAGTTTATTGTTCTGAATTTAATCAGTTGCTCTTTTGTGACATAAAAATAGCCCCTTCTGAATGGCTTGTTACTACTTATTGATATTTACTGAGGAATCTCCTGTAGAAGCTCCCTACAGAGTGGGTACAATGCCATTCGCGCGTGTGTAGATTGCTTCCATCTGGCCAAAAGTTACAGGGTGACTCAGGCCCGTAGTCGGGGGTTCGGGGGGTTCGAAAGAACCATCCCTTTTGCTGGGAAAAGGTCCACTCTGGGTAAAATTTGATCTAGGTACATGAAGTTTTTATGGAAAAAGGTCCACTTTTTCAGAAAAAGAACCCCCCTTTTGAAATTGCTGGCTACGGGCCTGGTGACCGGTGGAAATGTGCCCATAATAGCTGTCGCCCTGGAAGAGGGTACCGATTACAAGTTATTTTGTCGAAAAGATGTCGACAGAATAATGGTGAATTATGTTTTCCTGAGACAACACAAGCTATCCAGTGCTTTGGCATGTAAAGCAGCCCTGGCTGTATACCATAATGGTGATTCAAGTTCTATTAGAAAAATGCACGTTTCGGCCATAATAGACTTTTCTAGTGTCTCGGCAGATCGCCACGTGCTATCACAAATGACAGAGTCAAAACGGATTAGCCAGAAAATAAAGCATACTTCCAATCGTGTTGCAATGTCCAATTCTGTGCCCTTCTAGCCCACATGACACGCCACCTCGAATGTTCTTCAAGAACCTCACGTCTGGCAACTGCTGTGTATGTCGGCATTTTGATACTGTCATTTTATATTAGTTTATTCAACCATTGTCAATATATTATATAATACACATGATAGGAAAATTGTGTTGCCATCTCAGTTTTTTAAATGATAAAATAAAATCAACAGCAAAAATAAAAAGAGGTATATTGGTAATATTACTATGTTTTATTATAAAAAAAAGATGTGGAGGTTGGATTGAAGTTTAACTTCCTCTAAAAATTAATAGTGTATATTTGCTCGGAAGAAATTGAAAGCGTTAATAAGCAGGTTGAGTAGTATCGTTCATATATTTTTTTTTTTGATTTTGGAGGCCACCCTTTCCAAACAAATGCTTCTGATCCAACCCCACTATTCTTCTGCAAGCATCTGTAAGTCCGTCTATTCTCTTAATATCCTTCTCTGCGGCACGTCCATACCTTGTCATTTAGAGCGACCCCAAGCAGTAATATATATCTGATGTAAACAGGCTTCTTCTCATAATTGTTCTCTCTTTAGTCCATCCGTTTGAGTATATCAGTCAAAAAAAAAATAAATAAATAAAAAATAAACAAATAAATAAATAAATAAATAAAAATAAAAAGACTTGCAGCTTTATTCTTAAGTTTTGTTGGAACCCACGTCAGATTTTATAGTTGGTCTGCCTCAAATCCAGCAAGCGTTAACTCTGAAATATTGTCCTCCCACACATCTTGACAATTTTTCCCGCGTTGCTGTTTTGTGAGCTCGCGAAATTTACCACGATCGATACTACATCCTTTATTTTTAGTGATAAGATGTAATGGCATATGTTTTCTTAGTTGGATGAAATAAACCGCGAATAAAGGTAGGAAGATATGAACCATTTTTGTTGCAAACGCTTTTCTAAACGGCATGTTGCAATACACATGACCTGTACAACACAGCATTAGTTGCAGTAAATTCACTATTTTCACAAACGCATAACTTCTGCAATGTACGGTAAACAATCAATCTGTGACAGCTGGGTACCACATGCAAGCGATATAAAAACAGCCCCACAACTCGTGCTTGTGTACTATGAGGCTCTCTGTTGGACAGAAATCCGCAGATGAAACGACCGCACGTTTTGTATCTTGCAAAGACATTTGGAGACAGAGATACGCTTTTAGCTTAATTGGTGACTTTGGTGAATTGATTTCACGCGAATTTTCACCTTGCGGAAGCTGCAGTGACAGTGACTAGCTCATTACGTACATATTGATTTTCCGAAAGATTTGCCTTTGGATATAAAAGGAAAATCACGACTTCGTCTTGTATAAAAATAATCGCACCTCAAAATGGATGTGGATTGTAGAATGCCCGAAGCTGGAATTGCTAAAGCTATACAGGAACTTAATGCAACGTCTGCGGTTTCCACTTTTGATAATCTAACAAATGAAACTGAGACGTGGAATGAAGATTTTTTCAATATTAGCACCAACATTTCCAGGGTGGTTCCAGAAGTTCCAAAGTACATTCTAATTACTGCAACGTCTTTTTACATAATTATGTTCTTGCTTGGACTAACTGGCAATATGCTGGTTGTGTATGTTGTGCTGAGGAACCGGGATATGCACAGTTCAACACATTTGTTTTTGGTGAATCTCAGCCTTGCTGATCTTTTGGTGTTGGTTATTTGCATGCCGACAGCTTTGATTGACTTACATGCAAAAGACGTGTGGTTATTGGGAGAAGGTTTATGTAAGTACTCTTTCTACTCTCTCTCTCTCTCTCTCTCTCTCTCTCTTAATAATTATCGTTTCAGGGGAACATATGGATTCTGGCGGTAGCTTTTAAAGGGCTCAGATGTTATTTTCTTGTTCTGTTAAGATACATTAGCCTCAGTATACTTAACGTGTGTGCAATCGTCTTATATTAGCAAGTGCCAATTTAGTTAATAAGTAGTAACTCTTCTGGGCATTTGTTACATTTTTCTCCCTTAAGCCTCGTTATATTAAGTAAACTTAAAGGGATAATAACTCTTCGTTTCGGTCAAAAAATGAATTTTCCTGGAGTAAACAATAATTTTCCAATACTTACCAATTGTTAATGAATCCATTTTTACATTTAAAGTTAGTCCCTGGTTTTTTTCTAAAAAGTTTGGTTTTTTGTTAAAATCTCTTAAGAGTTAAGTTAATCTCTTAAGAGATTTTACAGAGTATAACCATCAATGGAGGTCACGTGGTCTAAAGACAAGCTTAGATATCAGAATAATAGCTATAACTGCCGTTTTTGTGGTAAAACAGAATATATTATATTTCTTTGAGTTATTCACAATGTTTTTATTGTGAAATATATATCTCATACGAAGAGTTATTATCCCTTTAACATTATCAACATGCGGTGATGTGGTGAGGATTGGTGTCGTTTGATAACATTGGTATCTAAATGATACAGAAGTCAAAGTGAGATAATACACCGCTGATAGACTGAGTGTTATCATTACTTTTTTTGCCTAGAGCGACTAAGAAACACAAACCATACACATCTCAATTCTCTGGTTTATCCTTTCCAATCACTTTGATTGTTGCAACAAGAAAGTCTAAAAATTGGGAGTGTCCTACTTACAAACTATAGAAAAATGGAAACCGACAGAGAAAACACGCGTTGGTGATGTTCTGAGAGTAATTTGAATCACCTCCAAGATATTTTATTGTGAAAGGAGAAAAACTTATTAGTAGGTAGTCAAATTTATATATGTCTTACCCGAGATGCAAATCCAGACGGATTGCCATTCCGCCTTAGTGAGATGCAAGATGGGATTTTACATATTCAATAAGTGATTTCGAACACCGAATTTAATGACTTGAACCGCAGTCAACGCATTGCTAACTTTGACCCGCACCTCAACCCCTCGTCCCCCAAATCCTTTTAATCCACAACAAAATGTCAAAAGAATTTAATCAAAAAGCTGATTTGTTGATTAAGAAAATAATAACACCAGGCCAAAAAGGACATTCATGATTACCCCTCCCCAAACGCCGCTATTACGTTACCAAGATGATCCAGTAAGAAGAGTATAATTTCATGATATAAAATATCAACTATAGGTAAACTATATTGTATTGTTTTTAAAATTTTTGAAGAAAATCAATACGCCAAGTTACAAAGCGGAGCTTTTACATCAGTTTGAACCACAAAGGGAAACTAGAAAATGTATTTAATGGAATTAACCATACTAAAAATATTGTTACGGCTATTGGTAGCAGAGAATTTGTATGTAATTTTAAATCACCATACATACTTACAGTAACGCTAAAATTACTTTTGAACGAAAAAACAAGAATATCGATTTATATCTTAATGGTTACAAAATCAAGAGTTATGCCTTCTGTTCTTGTAATTTAACATTGTCAACGTTTATTGCGAAGCATACAATTGACATCGAAGTCAGTATATTTAGTTTTAACAGTTTGAATCCCATAACACTTTTCCGCATCCTGTGTCTTATCAGGCCTTGCAATGTACCGGTATACTCGACATCGCTATCAAGGCGTTTTAGCATCACTTCCCATTGAAAATTCATTGTTTATTGTTGACTTAAAATGCATTGTAGCCTCCAATCTGGATATTGTCTTTCAGAGACGGAAAAGTTTAAAAGAACCAATGCGTACTGAATAAAGGTTAAAGCAATTATTTCTTACCGAACTTAAAAAAGGAAAATCAAGTAGAGTTTTTCACACTTCAACTTCGTTATATTTTAATTTCAGTAACATTCAACGGGGTGCTCTTCAAGCAAAGGTTAAAATTGTGTCATGTCCCACAAGACCAATTTAGTCAACTTCAATCCACTTCTAGCACAGTTTTTTTTACATAGCTTTAGCTTAATTTCCCAGTTTTAGGACGGCGTTGAATGGAACCTATGTGTCTGATTAATGAATAACTCAAAATGCATTACGTTGCTTTTTTTGTTAACGTTTGGTTGATGCTGAATAAAAAACCACATTTACGTAAGTTGTGCGTGATATCAGGTAGAGGTTCACCAATATACATGGGAAAAATATCTTTATCCGGAAATGAGTTCGTTTAATCTATAGAAACTAATGCACGACTAGGTGTGCTGTTTCACGTAGGTGCTAATGCTTGTTTACCACATTAAAAAAGAACAAGCACGATTCTGCAAAAGGTATAGCTGGACCTGCCGACTCAAACACGGGAAAATGCCCATCAAAGTTCTGCATAAGCACTTGTCGATGGCGTCCTGCATCCTGAGCACAATGTCGGGAATTGTAATTCCGCGGGGGGTTGTCTTCTCACAACACAAGATACGCGTGATACCGACGATACGCACATTTTATTACCATCAAACTGTTTGACGAGATATGTTTGGGTTCTTAATGTCCGTTGCAAAATGGCTGAAAGTTGGGTAAATAGCTATAGATTTCTTGACAATACGGTTATGGTCCATTTGCGTTGCAAACTTAATTTGAGGAAATATTTTGTATACAACTGTACCAATGTTTCTCCATCGTAAATGGAGATGGATACATATAGTAATTCTTGCAACAATACTACAATTACTAAGCATTTTGTTTAAAAAAACTACCATTTATACCAAGGTTTACTTTTTTTATTTCAATGCTTTTAGAGTTTGTGCAACAGTGCATGAACATAAATTTGGTGCATGTTTTTTCTACAAATTTGTTATACCATTTGAGTGATCTTTTTATCTTAGACCGTCTGAATTTCTATCTAAGTAACAAGTTCCACAGGTACATGTACGGCCCAACACACACGGAACATGAATACATACATCACCACCATCATCATCATCATCAAGGGTATGGAGTTCAATAATCGCGTAACATTTTGATCACACGGTCAGGGTTAAAGGGGTTTGAAAACAAGAAAACTTTTCGGTCTGGTCATTTTTGGCCCAGTTTACAGAGAGCAGGGTAAAATTTCATTACAAGAAGATCTTTAAATTTGAGTTTGGAACTTAAACAAGAGGTCAGACGAAGCATAATCTGTTTTATTTATTTACTCTTTTTTGTCAGGACGGTTTCCATACATTTTTGTATTATTGGTATGTTTTCAGGTAAACTTGTACCTTTCTTGGAGAACTGTACAGCACTGACCTCCACCCTGACCATCCTGACGGTCAGCTTTGATCGTTACTACGGAATATGCCAGCCACTGCGAGCCAGAACGGTGAAAATGTTACGAAGATCTCATGTATGTATCCTGGTCACGATCATATGGATAGTCGCCATTGCCATATGTATTCCTTTCACATTGATTCCAGTCTACAGAAACTCTAAGTTCAAGGATGGAACCCCCATAAAAGTCTGCAGAAATACTATCAAAGATAGCTGGAAGACTGGTTATATTATATTTGTATTTTGTTTCTTTTTTGTTGTGCCCTTTTTCATTCTGGTCGTCATTTATAGCATAATAACTAGACAGTTGAGTAGGGAATCGTTTCAGTTACGAGGACAGCACGAACAGGCGGCACGAGTTCGTCTGCGCACTAGAAAACAAGTCATAACTATGCTAATTGTCATAGTCTTCTTATTCTTTTTATTTCACTTGCCTATTCGTGTTGTCAGTCTTTGGGTTGTGTACGCATCAAAAGAGGAAATGGAAGCTCTTGGGTTAGAGGGATATTACAACTTACTTGCATTTGCAAGAATAATGTTCTATTTACATTGTGCGACAAATCCTATCGTTTACAATGTGGTGTCCACAAAATTTAGAATGGCAACTGCAAAGGTATTCTGCAGTAGGCAACAGCTGGAACTATCGCAAAAACGGTCTTCTTATTCCAGGCAGTTTTCGCGGTCGTTATCGAATAGAAGCAACAAAAGTGATTCGAGCTGTGTCACGGATCGCATGTCAATAAGGACAAGATCAACATCTGACTATGTCATGTACAAGAGGAATGAACATCGAGTAGAATTGACTTAATTACTTATACTTACTAACGCCGAAGTTGGTAATAGTGTCAGAAAATCAGTTTTAATCCAATACTACGGAGCTTTGTTAGTATCATATTAACTTTTCTTATTTTCATTTAAGTTTTATTATACGGAATTTTCACCGCGGTGAAAATTATTTTTACCGCGGTGAAAATTAATTTACACCGCGGTGGGAATTAATTTTCACCGCGAGGGAAAATAATTTTCACCGCGGTGGTAATTCCTGGCCATCTTGGCCCGGGTGATGCATACATGTAGGTTATACGAATCCAAAAATTACCAGATGTCTGGGAAGGAAGTTGATAAAGACACTCACATGCACATGCATGCGGTTTAACCAGTCTATGTGCCAATCATCCCAGGAATGTGGAGGAAGCGGGCAGTATTCGCATAGATAAAAAATCACCGAAATGCTGCAATGTTGTACGTCGCTTTTCCCTTTATAATAACGCGTATTATTGGGAATATTGGTAGAAAGAAACCTCTCCAAGGAAACCGAGATTACATCTATTAAGATAAGATGTATGGACAAATACATCACACAAATATTTAAAAATACATTGTCCAAAATTAACGTTAAGTATTTAGTAATAACAATGGGATTCCCTTTGCATAAAACTGCAAGCGGGACTTTGATTATATAGGTGGTAAATATAGATGGGAAACCTAAGTTAACGGCAGTGGCCCCACGAACAGATCCACCAGCCTTGTGTATGTACAATAGTATGCACCGTGACGGCATCTGGCAAATGTAAGGTTCTCATTACCTATTCATCACCCGGGCCGAGATGGCCAGGAATTACCACCGCGGTGAAAATTATTTTCCACCGCGGTGTAAATTATTTTCCACCGCGGTGTAAATCATTTTCACCGCGGTGAAAATTCCATAAAATGAAACTTAAATGAAAATAGAAAAAAAGTTAATATGATACTAACAAAGCTCCGTACAATACAATCTGATAAACGCGGCGTCTGACCAGATCTTATATATTTCATTTTACGTAAATGTATTGAATGTGACTAATTATGATTCTGTACTACATGTGTGTAAGTTAACTGCCAACTATTCATTACTTTGTGCGTGAAATGTTGGATGAACAATTTGTCAGCGAAATATAGCAGATACTTTGGTTACAAAGAGACGATTTCTTATTAAATTCAGACATAAGAACGGAACGATAACAAGATTTAGACCCCCTTACACTGGACGGCGGCCTTTCTGTGTCCCGTAGTACGACCATTTGAGAGTAAAAAAAAAACAAAAAAGTGCCGACAACTGGCCCATCATTATAAGCATTCATTCTGCAACCAAAGCGATGCCTGTGCCTCATTTCTACAACCACAGCGATGCCAGTTTCATGGTCGGACAAAGGACGCAGAAGGGACGCCGTTCAGTGTAAAGGGTATTTTTCTAGTTAACTTTGTTTTGGTAGTTCAAGTTGTTTTTTGTTCATTTACCTCACTTTTATTGGCACCTTTTACTAATACCAAGCAAGTAGTTTTATCAGGTGAATATCTGTGCGGAACATTGGTTCCTTAATCTCATCGTAAAATCTGCCTGTGTATGCAAGATACACTCCACGTTTGGGTCTTTGGTTTTCAATATCCGCCGTGAAATAAACCTAATTTTCAAATTGATTGTTATCAATATGATCTAGAAAATATGCAAGATGTTTAATCATGTACCTACCCATATCAATTTTCTATAGGATACAGGCTATATGATCCAGCATCCTAGGATAAAATAGATCTACAATTTTTCTAGAGGCCCCATTAACAGATAACAGCAGAAGATAACAGCAGCTTGGCAGGATCACTATTGCATTAGAACTGATATCCTGTATGTGCTCAGCGTTTTCTTCTCGTGCTTCGTTTGCTATTGCACTAATGCAATTTGATTTACCCACAAATGCCCCACTTAAGGACACTTTAAGTTAAGAAAACGTTTGCGTAAAAACTACTCTTTTCCACAAACGTGGCCTACAGATTTTTTTGTACGCGTTCTATAGAATGTTCCACCAATTTTCATATTGATCCGGTTCACTGACGAGTCCATTTTTTTCATTTAAGGCCAGAGGAAGTGGGACATTATTCTTTGATGTTATTTTGTCACAATTGGGTGCGCTATATCTTATAGATAAAGGGAGACCATTCAGGTCTTTAGATTAAATGAATAATTCAATCATTGGAAAAGATCGATTTAATAGTAATCTGGCTTTACATGAAACTGCATTTGCTTCTTTTTGCTGCCGTGATCTGCTATCTTTGCATTTCAATCGGTTTTGAAGACTTCATGCACTTAAACTGGCATTTCATTTCCACGTCACAGACGGAAAATTTGCACACATTTCAACTCAATCGAGATTCCTCATATGAAAACAGATCAAACTCTCAGCGTGCCCCTATCTTTATACATTTTGCATCGTACGTTTGTTAACTCGTTTCCCATGGTTCATTTAGTATAATACTTAATATTGTTTATGTACTCAATTTTCCTGTGGCTTTGGATTCGCATGCTCTCCATTCAATTATTGGTGTTGTTTGTGTTCCCCTGCACATATCTGTATAAAGTAACGTGTTTTACTTATTTTTTCATAATAAATATTTTGAGCAGCCATCTTGCCTCTACTTTTTGGTCTTTTCATTTCTGCTATGCAGACACTGGCAAGTGAAGTAAAATATACATAACTACTGTATGAGTTACTATTTTTATTTTGGATGTAGCACAATTTTTAATTAACAAATATTAATTTGAGCTAAAATGGGGCTCTACACCCTTCGTAAGATAATTATTGGGTGGTATATAATTCATAAAAGCGTCCATTCTGTGAAACAAGAACAAGACCACCACCTTTTTTGCAACTTATGAAATTGATACACATCTTAAATGATCGAATCTTAATTCCCAATAGAAGAAAATACTTTTCAAAAGAATGTATCTATCACTGCAAAATCAATTATTGGATGAAAATTTAATGTTAGGCTCTATTCACATAGATTTTAGATCGATCTATCCCCGCGGGGAGTCTCACTAGATTACTTTCAGATAATCCGACTTAAATGTCCGTCCCGCCTACTACAAGCTGTAAGGGGGTAATTATCTTTCGTGTCCGCCCGGCTGACAGCTATTTAGCGTGAACCCCCAGGGAGTTAGGTCGATCTAAAGTAGGTCGATCTAATCTATGGAAATGGGGTGTTATCCATACCTCATGTGATTTATGAACCTAAAGCTGTAAGTTCGTCCCCTAAATGTTAATAAGCATAACTCGATAAGGCATAGCATTCATCACGTTAATAACAAACTACAGTACAAGGCTGACATTGTTTTATCAAAAGTTATGGTCACCGTCGCTCTGTATTACTGGAATATGACAAGGAACTCGGGGTAAGCCTGTGTATCGGAGAAAATCACGAACATGGTTGGAGCAGATGGATTGTCAACAACTGAATCGTAGAGGCTGTGCTTGTCATTTGGATCCTTCTGTGGAGGGACGATCAGGCCACTCTTACCTTGTACATATTCTCCAGTAAGCACGCGGCATAGATACAGGTGCTTATAGCCATTGGCATTTGGCCGCGCGTAGGTATTTTGTGCGCTGTAAGATGCATTCACCGCAAAGTACACGCCATTTCCAAAGACAGTTGCTGAAATTAAATGCATGTTGCTTATCCTGTACATTCAATGTCATATGAGAGAGAGAGAGAGAAAGAGAGAGTGAGAAAGTTTTCCTGAAAATTATAACAGGTAAATCTAGAAAGTTCATTCATTTATTTCATTACTGTCGTCTAATTAATGGGAACTTTATCCGAAATTACCGTTTTTCCCGCAATAGCTTCGGTTGAAGCCATATTTATTAATACTAGGGAGGGTATCTTCACTGGTGCCGTGCCACAACACACGTTCTACAATAGTCCCCGCCTTGGCTGTTGCTTCCATGTGAGCTTTCTGAACGGAATATTTCTGGAACATACTTGGGTTTTGAATCCGCTGAACCTAAGAAATATGAACAAACGTCGATACAAACACAATCACCAGTGAGACTATAATCATTTCCTGAAGGGTGGGTAAAATGACATTTCCTTTATCATTTTTACTTCTACCTAAACCACACTCTCTGATATCCTTATCATTTCTTTTCTAATCGACTTGGTTTTGAAACATTGGAAATATGGACGTACTACGAAAGAATATAATCAAGTGTTGATTTATTTTACCTTAATTATTTGTTTTAGGGTACCTCCTATTGTTTGTCTCAACAGCTGATCTACGCTCGTGTACTCTTGGTCGGAAGGGTTTAAGTCTACGGCGATATATGAGGTGTCTTTAGGCACTGTGGTCCACGTGGAGGGCAAATCGATCTCTCCTGGGAAACGGAACAGATCAGTTTCAACATATCTATGTAATGAATACACGAATTAAAACGTCTACTATGCAATCATCTATCTACAATATGCTGCGCTCCACTGACTTTTAAAGGTACATACTAACCGAGCATCGGTGGAGCGTGGATTCCCAGTAACACATGTAAACCACTTCTACTAGATTCTTATATGACTCAAATAAATTCGACATGCCAAGGGATAATCTGAATAGATCACTCGATCTACCATAAAAGACCTTTAGACTGCTACTTTCTTTAAATTTTTGGTTTTAAATTTAACCTACTTCCGTGACCAACTTTCCTGCCCCAATGACATACAGCTTAGAATGCCAGCAGAAAAATCTGATCAAACATCATTTTCGGGTAAAATTAAACAATGCCTTTTGGTAATTCTCTTAGTTATACTACTTGAAACTATATGCTGGCATTTGGTTGGTTTTTGTGACAAAAAATTGACTTTGTGTGTATCTTTAAGTTAAAAAGTATCAGGTTGGATTTTAACGTGAAAAAGCACAATCTTACAGTTCATAATCTAAATCTCTGAAATACAATTTGTAAAATGCAATCAAAAAAATTGCCCACTTTTTGTGAAGTCCAGTCGCTTGACATCAGTTTCCATTCTGTCCGTCGTGCAAATTTCTTTCATCCTTTTAAAATCAATTCGACACTTTTCGTTGTTTTCATCGGTGAAATTGACAAAATTTTCTCCAGATGAGTGAGCATCCTCGATGGTTGCATTAATATTATCCGAATATGGTTGAAAACTTTCTTTGCCGCTGCCATCAATATCTAGGTAGCACCACTGAACAGTCTTCGCAAGCATGGCTGCCTGTCTTTTTTTGCTATCTGCAAGAAGAACTTCTCGAAACACGCTGTTAATGTCCTCCGTTACTGCGATAATGTCCTCTGAACTACCTTGGATGCGGATGCGTTTCAGGCGTGGCTTCAGTTCAACCGTGATCTTAACGTCATATTTTCCTTCTAGGGATTTAATTTCCTCAACCTAAGTTGTATAAAATATCCAAACAAACCTAATAATCAGTTTATAAAATATAATTAAGCGAGTTATCAAATTTTATACATATGCCTCGTTGGGCTAATAACAGCGCGGTGAAATCACTGTATGTTAATTTTATTCAAAATTAGGGGTTTTGGGTGGAAAACATATACGATTTACTTGGTATGTATGAAACATAATGCACTGCTACCGCGCGGCATTCTATCGTGTATATCGGGCTTGCGGGCAGTGCATTATTTCCTGTATAATATTTTACTTTAAACCACCAGGTGTTTGTGAACTGCATGAAATGCCATTAAATGGTACAATGATGCTAAACGTTAATTAGTCAGCAAAAGATGTATCTTCTGGGAACGTTACTTTGGAGTTTATCAGCAGTATCAATAACGAGTAATGGCCACACCAGGCATAATATCGCTATGATGGTGTGAATGGGAACTATGTCCCACAAAACAATGTCGACTAATGTGAAAGTAATAGATGTGAGCGGCCATATGATTCTACAGCATGATACACTACACCGGGAAAGTTTTAAAGTTTGTACACACACGTTTGCCGTGATATCATACACAGCATAATCTGGAGTACAGAATCAAGAAAATGACAAAACTTACGTCTTCTTCAGCGAGTAGTTCCAACGCTGTCTCATAATTTGGCCCCTGAAGCACCTTATCTTTGGACTCAGATTCACATAACTCATCGATTTTTTTTATAGCATTATCAATGTTGTCTTTCTTGTCCGCATAAACTGTGAGAACAAGAGACGTGGGTTCTCTAGTTGTGCTTTTACTTCTGGCTCCATTACCGGAACTGCCAAAGGCTGACCAAGAACTGACGGTGTCTAAAAGAGTTTAATAAAAGCTTTCCTACTATTCACCCATGCTTTCATTATACAGCAATGAATAAATCAAAAGTGAAATATTTCATTCAATTTATATTTACTTGATGAAAAAGTTACTGAAGTAGGAAGGAAGATATGCACAGGTGCACTAGGATATGTACAAGTTTACAAACAGATTGGTATGAACTTTGCTTTTCACCTGATATGTAATCGGTTATAGCCCGATACAGTCCCTTACTCTTGTCCACAACTCTTTTGGCCATTTCCTTATGAAATACATCCACCATGCTAGCCTGGAATATGGTTATTCTTACAAGGAGTAGGTTTTGCGATTTCCGCGCTCTGTCGAAGTCAGCTATGGCATCCAGCATGCCTTTTGCTACGTCTTTTGGGTCACAACCTGCGCCTGAGCATGTAAAAAAGGTCTTTTAAAATCTAAATAACTCATGATAAAGATGGAATACTTTTATGCATTTAAGCAGTACTGTCGGTTGATATATGTAATAAGTAGCAAATATATTTGAATCATTTATGAATATAACAGTACTGAACAAAACAAAGTCTCAGAAAAAAAAAAAAAAACATGGCGCGTTTCTCAAATAGTTGCATCGGAAATTTTAAAAAAACATTAAGAAGCTATTTATTTCAATGTGACACGACCAGTCATACTACACTGCCAACCTAACTGGCATACGCACCTGTTCCAAGAGCCGGGAAGCAAATAGATGCCATTTCCATATCCTCTGCCCTCTCAAGACACTTTGTAATCGCTTTCTTCCAAGGACTGCCAAAAAACTGTACTGGCATGACCAAATGTATTATATACTTTGAAGGAAGATCACCAGCTGTTGTGACCACAATACCCGACCTTGGATGTTCTACATACAAAAGAAAATTCAATTGATAAAAATAAAGTATGGGCATTTACAATGACAATTGAAGGCTTGTGGATTGGGTTTCATCAAATTCAGTACTACTGAAAGAATTTTGAAGTTTTTGTCCATTAAATGACTTACTCTGTCCAGCACACTCTTGAACAATACTGCGTCCACCCTTTTTCACAATGGCGTTCGAAACAGCACCTAAAAGGAAAAATATGTAAAGCAACTTTTACCGTTATAACTACAAACATATATTCTACTATATGTCTTAAGCTATTCATTTCGTATTTCAGCTTTTACATTACATGAATTGCCTGACAAAAGGGAATAACTATTGTTATTTCAGACATTTCATTAATAAATATGACTGGCAAATTGTTGGGATAAATATTTGACTCGACCGCGGCTGATACATATACAGCATACCTCTACTTAAGTCCAGTTCATCGTTGGTGCAGTTCACAATGGCGTCGGTGTGTTCCTCAGTTATATCCCCCTGCTGGATTTGAAGCGTGATATACCCTACCATTGCCGCCTGTTGCAGTCTACCACCACCACTGGCCATACTTCGGAATGTGCTGCCACCTTGAGTGGACAGATGGCAAACAGTTACACTAGATATCAGAGTAATTTCAAATGGAATTTTTCTATGATGCCTTTGATTATCATTGGGGACGGGCCAAAGGCAAAAATAGTTTGGGTACTAAATTCAGACTTGCAAGCAATCACAAATAGAAAATACCATTCGCTTTCCGTCTAGAAGTGGAATGTCCGCTTCGCTCAGAGGAAATATCTTCATTGCTCTCTTTTCCACGTCTTCTGGGCTTACGTCCTCTTCCTCTCTTCAACTGTCTGATCTCATCCTTAAAAGCCTACCAGTAAGTAAAAGAGGCTTCAGTAAAACAGTGTTAGGGAAAACAACTTTACCTCCTTCTACACTGTACAAGCTAAAGGGAACCCAAAATGTTTTTTCATGATCACCTTAGTGTATAGAAACCTACAATTTAACAGTAGCAACTTACAGCAAGGGTGGCGTGATCTTTATCATACACCACAAGACGCACTTCTCTGAGAGTTGTCTCGGGTTTACTTGTGCTAAATTTGGCTATTTCTTCATACATCACTCTTGCCACAACATCTTTTGGGAAGCCCAAGTTGCCGGTGCCAATTGCTGGTATGGCGATTGAAGTGTAGTTGCCTTTATCGGCAGTAAAAAGGCATGTCTTCACCAATTTACGAAGACACTAGAAGAAGGCATATTAGTGAAATGCATTTGGTCATTGGTAGGAAATCGCATCCTAATAAAAAATGACTCACCATCGCATTATACATGTTGTATGCTATGACTATTAAAAACAGAAATATTACATGAAAAATCAAAGCAACACCCGTTTATGCTATGCCTCTTAAATTCATTAGTCCATTTTTTAAGTATTGTTAAAAATTTACAACACTGAAGTACTGACATGACCATAAACGTATGGTTAATCAAGGGATCGAATACATCATGGGGATATTTTCGTTTACAGTATGAATTGCAAAGCCACAGATAAAACACCACACTTTAAAGAGTGGCGATTTTACTGACCTCCTCAGAGCCAGATGCACTCCAATTCAGACAGCTTCCATGAAACACGCGTTTGCACTTCAAATTGCCGCCAGAAGTTTCAACAATGTCGCCAAACTGAAGTCCATTTGGTGCCTGCTGATCACATTCGACCTGTAAAACGTTTCCCCCAGCAGACAGCAAAGACCTTGATACAGCACCGTTCGCCAACTTCAGATCCCTGCTAGTAGTGTTCACAATGATATCTGCCTGTAATGTTATGTTTAATATAAGCTATGAAAGTATATGAAAGTCGTCAAAATGATTTAAATTCATTTAAGTCATTCAGGTTAAAACGTACGCGTACTTGAAACATTGTACCACAGTGTTTATGTTCGCAGAATAACTTTTCAAGCGTACACATACCATTTCCTGTGCAAGAACTGCCTTTCTGAGTGAAACCAGGAGTCCCTCCCTTGTGTTCATAGTCAGGGGATCAGTAGTGGGTAAGTATGAACTACAGGACTGTGTCTCCAGACCTGGCATTTACATAGGTATTATTTGGTAAGTTGTAATTAGACACAAAACAACAAACAAACTCTCTTACAGACCTACAAAATGCTTTCCTCAATTACCTTACGAAAGGCACAATTACTTTGAAAATGTACTGAGAAGGTTTAAAAGAGACTATGGAAAATCTAAATTCCATTAATAAAAGTGGACATCTATATTCACATTTTCCACATTGTGCACATTTCAAAATTTCTTTTACTTTAGTTCTGGGTGTAAAAATGTTATTACACGTCAATAGCCATCAAAGCAAAAAGTGAATGAAAATGCCTAGATATTCTACAGACTAAAATTGGTAAAAATCATATGTAAAGATCAAGATGAATATTATGACACGCTCCCACGCCCCCAAAGAAAAGGCAAATGAAATCTCGTTCGGATACTGGGTGGGGGAAAATGTTAGGGGCTGAAGCAAGAATTAAACAGATCATTTTAGTACAAATAGACTTAATTGTTGTTCACAATCTGAAGAGTTTTTTCCTGTAAATTTGATAAATATGAAGGTTATATTCAATTGTTGTATAATAATAGTTTAATTTTGTTATTCACACAATATGCTCATTCATTACATCAGTTAATTGGTTAAGACGGACAGGTAGCCTACCAGTAAATTGTGAGTGCTCTTCTGCTCCTACCGATGTTGAGACTCTTCCATACCCACCATCGTAGCTTGCTCCCTCTTCTGTTCTAAAACTGCCAGTCTGAAAAATTCCGTGTAGAGCTCGCTGAAATGCCGTAAGTACGCGTTCCTCCAGTGACACAATTCGAACCTCTGTTACAGATGATGAGGAGTTCTTCAAAAAGTCCCTTATAGCTTCAAGAATAACTTCTGAGCATTTATCAATTGGGAATCGATAGACTCCAGCACTAAGTGCTGGAAAAGAGATGGATTCGAATTTCATTTTTGTTGCTTCATCCAGACAGTTGTACACTGCCTCGTATAGAAGGTTCTCTTCATTATTGCTTCCTCCACGCCATATTGGACCAACAGCATGCAGGATTTTCTTGCAGGGCAGTTTGCCTGCCGAAGAGGCGAACACTTGTCCATCAAGAAGGGCTCCATGCTTCCCGGTATAGGCATAACATTCGTCTTGGATTTTCCGACCACCTAAGGATATTTATTTTATTAATTTATTTATTATTTATAAATGAATAAAAACAAAATTTGTGTTCGTAAATTTTGATACTTCCTTTTAAGATATATATAAGACAATGTGATCACTGAATACCTACAAATGAAGCCGTGTATGACAATATTGAAACAAAAAATGTTTGACTGGCAGACTTATACCACTACATGATAGACGTGACTCACCTGCATCCACGATTGCTTTGGCTAAACCTCCAATGTGGGACATGTCTCTGTTTGCAGCATTAACTATTACATCCACATGTTGCTTCGTAAGATCATCTCTATGAATGGCCACTACACAATTCTCTGGTGTCTTAATGTGAGCCACCACTTTCTGGTTTATGTCTGAACTGTCAACGATCACAAAGTCACCATCCTCCTCGGCTGGCCCAGAACTTGACGGGACATCAATTGTACAGTCGTGTTTTGTCTCCACGTTTTCTAGAAAGTCCTTTCCTCGTTGGGAGAGTATATACTTTGGCATCCCCGGTTTATTTATTTCTTTAATTTCAGACTTGATTTTCAGGCAGAGGTCGCGTAGTTTTTGAGTTGTGGCGATGATTCCGGGCTGATTCCCTTGTACAAGAAATCCGGTGCTCTTTCCGGGCTTTCCGCATTTTATTTTCACTTGGTTTTCCGCATTTTCCTTCTCAATCTCTCTTAATCTGTTTAACCTTCGCTCTACAAGAAATGTTACTTTTCCTCTTTCCATTTTCATAAATTCTTCAACCACTGTGTTGAAGGTAAGGAAATCAGAAACACATTCTAGAACGTTGCCAGATACACTTTTCACAGCCACAATAGTTACGGAACTATTGTCTGCTTTGGGTATAATTTTACACAACCCAGAATACAACTTTTCTTGCTGACCGACTGTTGCGTGCCACTTTTCTGTGTTCAAAATCCCCTGGCTACCATCTTTGATTGAAACCGGGGTTTCAATTATGTTTTGCTTGATGATCTGACAAGCATGAGTGATCTCGTCTTGTTTTGTTGCATGTACTGAAACCTCATCATTTCTGACAACCCAAACTGCAAACAAACTTTCCCGTCGGAACAGATCCACAAGATGTTCTCGGCATTCTTTGGTTTCCATTAACAGAATGGATGCTGGAGGCAACTTGAAGGTCTGGTGTAGTAGGGCGTTTATTCTTTCATAAACATCTATCATAGCTTTGTTTACGTCATCTGGCATGCCTTTTAGATGAAGCATCCTACCTTCCTGATCGATACTGATGTTCATATCGGGGAACATCTGTTTAGCAATCTTTTTGTACTGTATTGCCAATAGGTACCGAAGTTGAAATGGCTTCAGAGTTTTCTTTTCCTTCACAACCAACGCATCTCGTCGCATCTGCTCATCAAGTTGTTTCTGTATCTGTGTAATTTTCTGAATCACCTCATTGGCTATACCAGCCTCCCCCATCACTCGTATGGCACAGGTCTGGTCTTCAGTTTGCAGACGATAATTGTCGTTTTCTGGATTCGGTAGCAATGAGAGAGCTTGGTTGGTTTTCTCCCATATTGCCTGAAGAGTGGAAAACTCTTTGTACACAAACTCTTCCTTGAAAATCTTATTCATAACTTCCCTCACATTCCTTTCCCATGTTTCTGCAGCTTCTCTATAATTTGGAGACTGTTGAGATAGCGCACAGGTGACACTGGGCATTGATGCTGGATTCTGAGGCCATTGTATGCGGGCACTCACATCAGCAAACGCTTGTTCAGCCGCAGAACGATGTCTTTTAATGCCTTTGATGAACTCTACCAATCCGTATTCAACATTTTCCAATTGAATTGGTTTGGGTAGAGGTAAATAGGGTTTGCTCGGGTCATGTCCAGGGGGAAGAATCCCAAGGCACTCATGGTATATGGATACCTTTACATGGGTCTTGTTCAATATGTGCTTCTTTTTTAAAACTCTGTCTACAACTGAAACATAAGCACAAACATTCCTTGATACAATAATTGCGGATCACAAAGAGGGATTATCATCAGACACATTTAGAAAAAATTGATATGAAATTGTCAAATTTTCACCTCTTTTAAATAAAGAAAAAACCCTTACCTTCTGGGTTATCAAAAGTCACGATGGCGGAGGCTGAATCTGAAGCCATATGAACCACACTGACTCCACCACCACCACTTTTCTTCTCGTTCTCAAAATAATTCTCGAGCGCATCCTCTGTGATATTTTGAGGAAGTTTGTGAACCTGGATACTAGTTGTAAGGGGAACTCTTTCCACGACAAGATTACTTCCTTCAAGTTTCTTTTTCGAGCAATTGGCTTTAAAGTTATCAAAGTCTGAAATGAAAAAGAATGTCCCTGAACGTAGACAATATATTACTATTTACATTGTTAGTAGTACAATTGTCACACATTCACCATTCTGGTTAACATTTGTTTTACATGAAACGATAACGTAAAACATGAACCACACACTTCACTTTATTAAACAATTAATCAGGTTTAAGGTTTAAATGGACTTTTCTAAAAAATACATCAGGTACCTGTTATTGGTTCACTTAATGCAACTAGGACAGTCCCAGGGATAGCCCCAAAAGTAATGTTCTCAACACTGTAGCTGGTTTTTGCCTCGATGAAATTTTCTAGGAGGTCTGTTGTTACATTTACGCCCACCTTCTTGAAACAGACCTTCTGCAAGTCATATGTGACAGGAGGAGGGGGCTGAACTGCTGCTATGTCTAGACTACTTTTATCTAATGTCAGTCCAGTCTGTTCCCACTTCTGTAATATCCTGTTCACAACTAGTAATTAAACATTTTTTAATTATCATAATTTTAGAAAGAACTCAATGTTTTCAATAAATTATACATATGAAAATAAAAAATCTGCTAACCAAAGGCTAATCTCCTTAATTAGGACTTAATTGAACTGACCACGAATATTTATGGTGTACTGAGCTTTATATATGATATAATCGATGTACTGCATAAAACCAAGAACCATCTAGCTAGTGTGCACTGGCTTGAGAAAAACCTTCGCAAAAAGAGAACTAAATTCGGTTGTAAAATAGCTCACCTTCAGGATCCGGAAATGTTATCAGGGCCTCAGTTTTATCTTCATTCATTGTTATATTCTGAACGGGACCACCACCTGAACGTTTTCTGTTCTCAAAGAAAAGTGTCAAGCTCTCAGTCGTGCTCTCTTGGTGAAAACCACGTACTCTGATGGTGTCAAGTTTAGGTGTTTCCACTTGGTTGTCTTCACTTCCTTTTGCAGATAATAAAAAGGTAAGTTTAAAATGTATAATAAGATATAGCATTTTTGTATTTGTTCATTGTTTTACAAACTTCCACTGAATAACAGCCTCCCCCCCCCCCATATATATATATACACACACACACACACACACATATATATATATAAATTGAATATTCTTTTGGACAATTTTCCCCTTACTTGTCCCTCCTATAGCTGAAGGAGCACTCTTTTCACAGGGCCATTCCACGTGGAGCCTGTTTCCATCTAGTATCGTCCCAGGAGACTCCCCGTGCTGAATGACACGTGCAGCAACTGAACATGAAAAAACTTACATTATTTACGTCCTTAACAGAAGGTGCAGGTGCCAAAATGGCTAAAAGTTAGAGGGTCGGGATATTATTATTTATCTATGTAGAAATTCATCCCAACAGGAATCATAAGCACACACAGAAATGTCAGTATTTAACCTTAATTTTGTTTGAAACAAAAACAAACTTTCAAGGAGAATCAACTTATCAAACCCTTAATCCCTCAAAATATTGATATATATGGCGCTCTTGCAACGCCCCTAATGTTATTTATCTTATTCATGTAAAGTCAGTTATTTACTTAATGCTCAAAACAATAGTTGTGTTTTTTTTTTCAAAAACTAGTCTTGCCATTTGTATATATTAATCTATCATTTACAGTAATTTTTCATTTGTCATTAAATAAAGAGCAGTCTAGCATAATACATGTAATTAATCATTTAATAACCTGTTCCTTCACTATTTAACTTATTTATCCCAGTCAAAAAAGGAAAAGCAAAAAATACCTTCATGGTCTTTATAGGTAATAACAGCAACACCAGATGCTCTATCAATGTTGATGTCCTCAATCTCACCGCCACCACTGCGTTTTTTACTTTCAAACAACATCTCTAAGCTGTCATCTGAGGTGTTTTGATGAAAGCCGCGAATTTCTACGGACCTGACTGGTTCTGGTGGTGTCAGCCTGCATATGGTCAGTGTGGCTCCTTCAAGTTTGAGGAGACCTCTTTCTAATACTCTGTCAGCAACTGAAAAGACATCCAAGAATATACTTAACAGCAAGGGCATTGGTGGTGACTCACTTTGTTTTTTATATGTTTAGGTATAAGCACTATCTATATACAACAATAAATTCATTGTCAAGCTCACATTATATATGGAACCATAATTTTTCAGTTATGAACATAAATAAATTATTCTCGTATTACTTTAAACTCATTAATTAAAGCAGCATTTGATCAGCATTAACCTTCTGGATCTACAAAGGTGATTGTCACATCTCCTGTCAAGGGATTCCTTTCCAATTCTGCAATATCACCACCTCCAGATTTTCGTTTGTTTTCAAAAAACAGCTCAATTGTGTCATCAGATGTTGTCTGATGTATTCCATGAACCACTATTGCATTGATAACCATGCTATCTTCCTGCATTATGTTGCCAGCTGTGTCATCTGCTTTATCTGGCTGGGGCCGACAGACACGTATTTGTGCACCCTCGAGAATCAGGTTTTCTTGGGCTAGGACACGTTCGGCAACTAAGTGGAAATTTTTTAAGGATTGAACAGAGGTTGTAGGTTATTTACATTAACAAGGGAGGCATTTTACACCTGATATAACATAGCATTTATGGCATAGTTACTTCTTACCAAAATGCAATGAAACAATTTTCTTAGGGAAAAATTTACCCTAAGCGGAATTGAAAGTAATTCTCACCAAACCATTACTTACTTTTGGAATCTGCATAAGTAATTTTGATAACGCCTGTAGTAGCATCCCTTTCTATGTGCTCAATATCTCCGCCACCTGATTTTCGTTCATTTTCGAAAAACATTTCAGCGGTGTCTGTGGATGTCTCCTGTTTGACACCGTGGACTTCGACAATGTGAGAAGGCTCTTCTTTTTGCTGGGGCTTAGGCATGCATACTTGTAACTGGGCACCCTCAAAGAGAATGTCCCTCTTTCCAAGAACACGTGAAGCAACTAAAATGGTCATTAAATATAAAGCTAGTGATTTTTCTAAACAATTAACATTTTTAAAGTAAAAAAACTTTAAATGTGACTTTCTGAAAATTGTTAAAACAAGTTGCACTTACCAGATGGGTCACAGAAAGTGATCCAGACAACGCCCTTTTCCAGGTTTCTCTCTAGCCGCTGTATATCACCACCACCCGACCGTTTCATGTTTTCAAAAAACATTTCAATCGTCTCGTCTGAAGTCTCTGCCCTTATCCCATGTACTTCTATCGTGGCTGAAACTTGTGTTGTTTCTATGCCAGTCGAATCTTCCTCGTTCTCTCGCCAGACCGCCTTTAACTCTCTTCCCTCCAGTGTAAATGTTCCCCTGTCCACTACTCGAGAGGCAACTGAAAGAATTACACATGTAAATGAAAAAGCAATCAGATTTCTGTCTGTCACAAACCCCTCTTTCAAACCAGCACACACAAACAGTACCTGATAAAGGACAGCATTTGTTCGGTTAAGTCAACTGAAGTATTCTGAAGCATGAAAAAATATACATGTATCATAAATCAATTCTTTCCTACAACTTTACAGAAAACAAAATGCATTAACTTTTACTTATTTATCATGTCCACAACAACAGTGTATTGATTACCTTTTTGGCTATGAAAACACTTTGATGGATAATCATTACTTTATGTCCATAATAATCTAAAATCAACTACACACCATTTTATGTATTGGGAATAAGAAAATGTATCGAATACTCAACATTCTGATACCTTAAATGAAAGAAAATGCACCAATTTGCATACTTAAATATACACTAGCTGATACCTGTCACATTAATCATTGTACCATGATAAGAGATTAGTATACACAATTTATAGTTTGGTGTCAAAGATTTGGTGACTTTAACAATAAAACTAAAAACCAACCTCCCTACGTTCCATTAAGGTGTAAAAAGAATTATTGACAATCTATATTATATTAACATATACATGTATTTATAATAAAAATTCTCAAAAATAAAAGAAAGACTAAATGGGACTGAGTAGTAATCACACTTTGTTGTACATGTTCTTGTATTATATGTTTCCCTCACACATGCGAAAACTTTATGGAAATTGTCGAAGGCTAGAAAATGCATTCAAAATATACTTTTAAAAGTTTTAATAAAATTCAAACTATGGCCACTATCATCCCACTGCCCTATGGTATCGCTAACACCTGTCAGTTGTCAACAGATTGTTGTAAATGTAGTTTGGAAAAAAAAAGTGAAACGGAGACTTTGGGTGATCTGCTACTATAATATAGATTGCATAGATTTATCATAAATTTATCACATCTGCAAGAAAAGTACTTTTATTTATCTTTCTACCATTTAGGCACTTACTGAAAAACAAGTCACAGAAACAGCATCAGTTTTCACTACGAAAATTGCCGATATTCAGAAAAATTGACAAAATAACACCTTATATAACACCTTCGATGACAGCATCTCCAACAATTTTTATGACTAGTTACCATAATTGCTGACAATTAAAAATTTTTACTTGAAGATAAATAAAACCAGGCAATTGCTCAATGACAATTCAATGGACACGAGTGTTGGATTTATGTGTCCAAATACCTATACTGTAATACCTACATAAAACTCACACTTGACAAAATAAATGTCATATGACATATTAGCTTTCTGTTCTTACCTGTTACATCATCAAAGACGATAAAAATGCGATTTTTTTCAAACTCTCTTCTCATTTCCTTAATAAGTCCTCCACCGCTTCTCTTTTCCTGCTCAAAGAACATCTCCAATGTCTCGTCTGACATCTCCGGTTTCACGCCAATAACCATTACCGTGTTACATTCGAGGACATTTCCTGTCTTTGGCACAGGCTTGCTGATTTCTAAAGTAGCACCTGCCAATGTCAAATCTTGTCTTTTCAGCACCCTCTCAGCAACTGGAAAAATGCAACTTCATATTCAAGCATGGCTGTAAAAATGAAATGCAAAACAGCATTATTATTACTGGTATGCCTACACTTAGGCTTCGTTCACATGCAATGTCTATTTTCTAAATTCTATTTTCTATTTGCGGCATGTCTTATGATCACGGTCTGTGCACTGAATATCCCGCCGCGTAATTACTGGCAGCGCGAGCCAGTTACTTNCATTGCATGTGAACGAAGCCTTAGAACATGGAAAGTCCAACCTAATTTGTGCTTAACTTATTACTGGTAGAATAAAGAGTAGAACAAAAATGACAATATTAAAAAACTGTCTACATGAATCCATGGCAAATGTTTTTTAAAACATGTTTTTTTAAAAAATAGATGAAATACCACAAAACAGGGAATGTAGGATAAGGAACTGGGTAAGATTCCATTTGCCAGAGGGCAGGCAATTATTGACAGACTGGAAATCTGCATAAACCTCAACTTCGATGTATCATATCAAATTTACCTTTCTTTGTCTTGAAAACCAGCGTGATAACCATGTCATCACGATTCACATAACAGCTTTCAATTTCACCCCCTCCGGATCGCTTTTCACTTTCAAAGAACATACAAATGGTTTCTTCTGACGTTGCGCAGTTGAACCCTCGTACCTCAAGTGTACGTTCCTCTTTATTGGTCTCACCCTCCTCATGTTCATGTCTGTCTCTGGTTTCGTAAGGAGAGCCAAGGTTGCCACCTTGAGTCCCAGAGTAAAGGGGATGGATTTCCTGTGCTACAAGATGAAAAACTGAATATAAAAACATTTGAAAACAAAAGATTTCAAGCAGACATTATACAGTATCTGGGGTAGCGCTAACACTCGCCAATGTAGCCAAATGCTAAGACTTACTTAAAGTGGCTAAACAAAAAGGGCTTGATTTGACTCATTTTAGTCAAATAACACCATTTGGATAGCAAATTGACAAAAAAGAGATGATTTGGCTAAGCAAAAAAAAATTGCTAGCGCTACCCCAGAGTATTGTCTCATTATCGTTAAATAAGGCATCTAACTTATAGTAGTTTTATTTTTATTTTTATTTTGTGTTCTTAAATATACTGTACATCAGCTGTGCACTTGTATATCGAATACAGAAAAAAGAGACCAAGTGGGAAATAATGGTCGTTTATTATTACAACAGGTATTCACATTTGCCCAATATGGGCCAATTAATTATGACAACATCATGAGCATGGTTACACATCTTTATTAATTGAAAAACATAATGTAGATAGGGGCATATATATATATATATATATATATATATATATATATATATATATATAAGGTTGGCTCTTTCGACCCCTATATTTGAACTATAAAGATCACTGCATTGGCTTAGTGTCACTTAGACCCCATTTCCATAGATTAGATCGATCTACTTTAGATCGACCTAACTCCCTGGGGGTTCACACTAAATAGCTGTCAGCCGGGCGGACACGAAAGTTAATTACCCCCTAACAGCTTGTAGTAGGCGGGACGGACATTTAAGCCAGATTATCTGACAGTAATCTAGTGAGACTCCCCGCGGGGATAGATCGATCTAAAAGCTCTGGGAATATAGCCTTATTGTCACTTGAGAGCAGAACTGGTCGTTAAATTATGGGGCAACGGACTTCTTAGGGTAAAGATCCGGCCAGCTGAATCAGTAAATGGGGTTGGGGGATTTTTTAGAGTTTTTTCAAAGTTTTGGTGTTTGGAACTCGAGGTCACGGCTTCTAGATTATATGTTCAATGTGAATGCATGCTGAAGTAAGTCACCAAAGTTGAAGTGAAATAATTCTCGATTAATCAGTAAATGAGTAAATTGCTGTTTAGTTGGACTTAATTCAGTTTGTAAGTAAAGACTTTTAACTGAATGGTGGCAGCATTTTTACCTTGTATAGCCATTACTGACTTTGCATTTTCAAAAAATAATGTATACAACAGCAAAATAAATGCAGATTTTCTATGTGTATCATATTTCGTAGGATACATTTTTGTAAGAATTTGCACTCTTTTTCCTGTTCAAAAGCTATATTAAAATTTTCACTATAATTGTTTGCACAGCTATATTAAAATTTTCACTATTATTGTTTGCACAACTACAAAAATTGTTACGTCTACCAATACAATTTATGCTGGTAAACAACTGTTGTTTCATTTTAAACACATATGACATACTAAATAACATGCAATGCATGCTACTTATCATAAGAACACGCATATTGCATATACAACCTATGGAAATTTGCACCTACTGGTAATCAATTGAAGTACCTGAATGGGTTGTAAATGGTTCAACATCTTGGTGTTGATCTCAATTGCAAGTACAAGTCATCCTGATAGGGAAAAGTTTTCTTACCTGACAATGGGCTAGGCATGTTATGGGCATTTCGTGGGGCAGTAACATGGTGCCTTGGCACGGAATGACCTTGGTCTAAACTTTCATAAGGCGGTGGGCTGCTCCAGGAAGTAGCCCCATGTGTCTGGCAGGCAGTACTGAAGCCTATTTAAAAACTTATCTACATTAAACAGTCTGTGAGATAAGACAACCCTTTTATATTTTTTCTTTGAGAGACATTGAAATGATACACAGTAATGTATATTAAATACGCACCCAATGGATGAAAGCAAGTGACTCAAATAATACAGCACCAATGCTCATGAAGACATCCAAATTGAGAAATAATACAACCATCGATATGAGGAACTAATTTTACATCGTCCATGCGGATAACAACTGGATATAGTCTTCATGATATTATGCTTTTTATAATTAGCCTACTTGCATATCACCACGTGTATATATAGACTCCATTTGGCTAACTTCAGATATTTTAAATAAACGAAAAAACGACTTCAAATAAAGGCTGTGATTTTATGTCAAATAATATAAAATCTGTGCCACTCATATCTCTATCCCCTCATATAAAATAACTGCCATATTGTCTACATACAACTGTATACCGGATGGACTTAGTCCAGAGATTATGTCACTGTGGTGATCGATATACACATTGTTCGCTATTTTGTTCTGGTGAAGTGTGAGTACTTCTCTCTGTCAAAAAATTCACTACCACTCTCTCCCAATGAATACACTGAATCCCCCTCCACTAACGTTCGAGTTGTTTTGGTCTTTAAAGCCGGGGTGACAAGGAATTATCTCATACTTGGCGCCTTGGTAACCACTGGGAACTTTTGTAAGTAGCGACATATACAGTTTGAGTTGATAAATAAATTGAAAAATCTTTATCGTTTATATTTCTACTATTAGTCACACCTTCTTCTCAACTATTTTTGTCTCTCATCTGATAGCTTGTGATATCTGAAAGGTTGGTTCTGGTTCCTAGATGTCACATTTTAATTCTTTGTATTCTTTGAAATAGAAAGCATGTGCTCTTAGTTACTGCCCACTTCTTATCCAATTAAACTTGCCCACAACCTCATATTGTCTCTCTCTCTGAGTATTTAAAGGAATTTTAAAATGGAAAAGACATAGCTCCTCATTTGAAGAAAAAATCTTGATATTTAAATCAAACTAAATTTAACTTAATTTAAATATTTCCTCATTAAAAATAATAATAGTAATAATACACACACACATTGTAAAACTGACATTCACATGAACAAGTAATCTTTGGCTTTTAAACTGACTCTGGGACCCAGTGACTTGATAAAGATTAGATAAAAGGTCATCTACCTTCTCGTGACATGAGAATTCTAGTCAGTTACATGCACAGTTGATAAAAATTTGGAATTGTGTGATATTATCGATTAAACATTAACAGATGTAATCTTATCCAAGGGACCCACCTGTATTTAACTGTACTTGGTGTAATGGACTGGAGATTTGAGCAGTAGCTCCTAAAGTTTGTTGCCCATATTCTTGTGGTAATACATGTTGTCTGTGTCCAGCTGGTGAAGAAGAGTCTTGCCACACGTGGTGGTTAGCTGACATTCCGTGGCTCGAACTGGCATTATTTGTATCGGTGCCCTTATAACAAAAATGACATATAATGACATAAATAACACATATATTGTGACGCATCCATTTTGGGACTTAAAATGTTGAAAACTCTGTTATTATAATTTTAGAATTGCATGTTATTCGAACAAAAGTATCTGTCCTAAAATGATTAATGCATGCATTTGGGAGATAACAAGAGGTAAATGTTTTCTTACCTCTTTCGAGTCCATTGTTGGTGAATTTCTTAAATGCTTTCAAGACTGATCATGGGGACCAGATGTGTTGTCAACAGTGGAATTTCTGTCTCTGAAAAACACCCAATTTCTCAATAATCATAAGCTTTGTTAGTGCATGTGTACCACAGTGTAGCACAAAGATGATGACGTAACTATAATACTTGCAAGTACATTGTATAAACATGTAAATAAAAACACAAATACAGAAATATAGGAGTTATGTACTTATCAATAATCCTGGTGGATACAGTAAAAGATTGATACAGGTAGCTGTTTACTGCATATATTGACACATTCCATAAAGCTTACATGTTCTGATTATTTTCTTGGATGGTTACATACGTTGCTTCTTTTGAAAGATGCCATTATTCTCCCCACACCAATAAATAGTTTGACAGAAAAGATGAATGTACAACTAAGAAAGAAGACTTAAATGGCATTACAGTTCATTTTTTGAAAAAAAAGTAGATGAACAACGTCCTATCTGTATAAAAAAAAATTCTTATGAATTTAGAAACTTGAGGGCACTTTCACCTTGCAATAAAATAACAAGAAATTAAAGTGAATTAGTCTAATCCCAATATTCAACTAATCTCAACTGTCATGGACAAATCCAAGATAGGATTTGCATAGTAAGCTACATTGAATAAAAGTAAGAAACAGCGACAGGTGTGACAGGAATGGAAGTTGCTAGGAACTGTAGTCCATTCCCCATTACTTTGCACAGATGACATTTGTCCTATATACCATATACTGGTACTAACCCCAATACTTTGACTTACCTTTACCTGTACTAATCATGAGACTTCCATTCCAAGGAAAACCACTCCTGTCATACAGGAATGATGAAATATTTTGAAAATTGGAGATTTTTCATTGAAAATTCATTATTTAAATTGGAGAATTTTTTATTTCAAAGTTCACTATGATTATTGACCAACTGACCAATAAACAAGTGGACTTGAGTCATGCAAAATACTTGGTTAACATGGTGTACCCTGTATAACAGAACTGGGCAGAACAGCAGTCCACATGTATAACCAACTTGATTCCGTGTGTTTATGGAACTTTATTAATATAAGCTGAGCAAATAAATGGTGTCTACAGAATTGTGGCTGGAGCTCAACTAAGCTATAAGTCCAGTGCCACTTCTAAGGTGAGGGGTGGTCCCCCTCACTCTCATTGGTCACTTCAGTATAATTTTATGCTTCTATTTGAACATTTTATCTCCAGATGGGATCACTTAATTATTATTCCTAGTATAGCGATTTTTAAATAATCCTTTAAAAATAGTACAAGGATTACTTGGGGTGTATTTTACATATTCACATTGTCCTAAAGTCTATGATAATGTGATCTAATTTTTTTGATCATTTAATGCTATCTGTGAGAGGTAAGCCCGGCATAACTGTGCAAAGCTATTTCAAACCGCATTGTCATCAAATATTGTCAGTCAGTGACGTCACTGCCAGTGCATAACTCCAGCTGGGAAATGCTTTCACTTTCACTTTAGCTCAGGTATGGACTCCAGCAAGATAACGAACAAGCAGCGGATTTGGGGAGTGGGGGTTATGGGGGTCCCACCTTCGGTTTCTGAAAAAAAATCACATCAATATTCTCCCCTTGAAATAAAAATTTTGGCTAGATGAATTTTAGATCTGAGCTGTACCAAATGGCGCCTTTTGCCCTCCAAAACACCAAAAATATTCGGGGCTCCTCAGCGGGCCCCGAACCCTCGCCAAGGGGGAGAGGCTCGACTTCGCATCCGAGACCTGTTATTTCTATGAAACCGGACCCCTTCAAATAATTCTGGATCCACCCCTGGACCTGGTACCCCTCGCTCTCCACTCCACAAAGTCACACATACGATGTAGCACTACATAAATACATGTAGGCCTACGTGTAGACTTTCATTTTACCCCCAAGGGTCAGCAGAAGGATGAGAGATAAATAGGTACAAAGCACATACCTTGCACTTGACGAGAACAAACGATGACAGTTTTCTCTTCTGTTGTCGGGTTACTTCGACTTCCAGAACTACGTACGCCCCCTTCGCTTTGATTGCAGTCCTGAGAATTGCTATAGTCTCAGCGGTAAAAGATCCACCCACAAATACGCTGTAGTATGACGTCTTTTATTCTATGGCCCGACGCCTCTGACATTAACTTCGACTAATGTTATTCAGAGAAACTCAAAGTGAAACTATGAAGCTTTCCAATATGGCCGTATTTGTATAGGTAAATATGTAGGGGATTCCCCGTTTCTAAATATGGAATGCCTGCCATATCCAACCAATCAGCATTACAAATGCAATCGACTCCCAATCAGAAAAACGATACCTGGGATTTCCGGTTAATCTACAGCCCTCTGCCTGTAGACTGTGTTGACTTGCACTGCTATAAACTGAAGTGGCTTGGATGACTAAGGTAACAACATGTTAATGCATCGCTGTAATTTCACTCGGACAGATTAATAATATAATATTACGTGCACGTGTATTATTAGCTGGCCTCCTATAAGTTGTGCTTTGCAGTGGATAAATCAGCTGCAAAAGGGAAGTGAGGTCTATTTTTCATTGTTAAGACGCCCACCCTGTATGTGACACTTGTACATGTAGAGTCTATGGGCGGTGTAGGGGCTTATTATAGCACTCTCAAACCATATAACCGGATACTACGCATGCTGACTTAAAATATCTGTTTTCTATTTACACACTTATCCACTAACACAATATACATGTAGCGTCGCATTTTTAAAGCATAAAATTAGTTTCGTTTTTCGTCCTGCTGTGCTGTGATATAGTGACGTCACCGATGTCGGTTCAAACACGTAGTCAATAATCGTAGGTCACATGTAGGTATAAGATACGCATATAATGTGAAATGTTTGTTGGACCCTGTAGGTAAACGTTACGCCCCTTCTAGGAAAAAAGGGACTGGAAAAATCGAGAGATACTAAAAGTTCAGTGAAGTAGGCTGTAAACCTGGTAGGCTCAGTTTACTGTAAAAGGTCTCCTTCTACTAGTGAAGATATCGAAAGTAGGATTGTTTTCCACGATTATGTCTCACAAAGCATACCTTGTATATTAAACATGTTTTACATAAATTTTTTGTTATTTTCAAAGAACAACAATATCCACGTCCTTTTAAGATTTGCCCGTAGAAAATAATTAAGCGGGCATAGTAGGATTCGATAAGGGAAGCAAAAGATTCTTATAAATTTCACATTGCCCATGACATATTTTACAGTAGTAATCCAATGTTATGTTATGGTTTGAAATTAATTGAAACAATACCGTAGAAAAATTATTTATAGGTAGATCACTGTATGAAGTATTAATAAGCACATTGAAAGTATATAATTTTTATCAAAGAAATCTGTATAGTATGAATTTGGTTTGACTTTATAAGACAAATCAGATGTAGTTGATTAATTAATAATTTAAAAAATTAGTAGAACAAATATACGAATCACCTGATTTTCACAAATAAAACGATTACCAATATGTGATCCCAATTTTTCATTAGCTTTGAAGTTGGATCATAGATAATTAATTAGCACTAGCTGACTATAATTCTTCCTACTGTTTACTTACGAAGAACAACGTTGTGGGACTATGTATCAGATCAATTGCCATGACTGTAATTCATTATATTGGTGGTACAGGAAGACACTGAAGACCAGGGTAAACGAATACAATCAATCTACCTGGTATTTATAATAGGGTCCTGACAGCTATACCACCTGGCAGTCAGTGAGTAACAACTCATGTAAGTGTGATGAAGGCCAATGCCTGTTACGACTGTACTGTGGCCTTCAGAACAAATTCGATCTCTTGGGTCTAATTTGTTTGTGTTAAATAATTAACATCTATGCTTACCAGTATACATGTATCTTAATTTCAGTGCAGTTAGATGATACGACGAGCCTAAAATGACCTCTTCCTCTCCGCAATTGCACCCTGATGAACATGTCATCATTCTGGGAATACCGCGGGGAGTCTCTGCCGCTGATATACAAGATCACTTCGAGGGCATGCAAGGGATGCAGGGGAAATTAGATAAAGTGGTGTTCCCGTTCAAATATCACAATCTTGATGACTGTGCCCTCCTTACGTATAAAAGTGTTGCAGGTAGCTTTTCCGATTTTACCTTATATCCACCGATAAGTATAATCTTATCTGACTTCATACACCCAAACCCAATATAGAGGTGCAATTGGTGTCGCAGGCATGCTTTTAAAATATTTAGTGCACAGATTGCAAACTATGTTTGATTGTTTTTCGGGTCTCACACGAAGACGTTTGTATCTGAGTTTCAGTCTCCTGGAACCATGAATAATAAAAAATAAATCATCGTTTATGCCCAAAAAGGAACATACGTTACTGTCACAAATGCAAAAAAAGTCCAGCTGTGAAACGTTTTACTCACGTTGAAAATTTAACCATCACTGTAGTGGTTTTGTTCTTTGGTTTATCACTTACAAGTATAACGTTGTAAAAAATTATAATAATCTTCTGTATAGAACAGTTAATTGTTTTTGAGCGATTTTGGTTACTGAATATTTAAAGAAAACAGGGATGATACAACCTACTGACAGTAAAATAAGCATTAAATAAATAATTTTTTATCCCTCGTGATCCAAATATTGTATCGAAATGTCCAACTTTCATGAAATCACAATTTATTTTTCGGTCAGCAACAGAACACGCCGCTTTCTATTGCAGCGAGTACTTGATAAAAATGAAACTTTTGGGCATTTTTTCTGGGGAACAAACGTTACCTAGTATAAGCCATGACGCAAAGCCCCTTGATCGAATGACATTTTAAATATTTATAAAAACGTCCTTACGTCATGTATAATTTACCATGACTGAATCACTACAAAATATATCGAAACGCTGTATAAAAATTAAAATGAAATGGCCCGGAACATAAGTTTCTAAACATTTCCGGAACATACGTTACCAATTAGGGCTCTTTGCGTAATGTAAAAGCATGGTAAAAATTTAAATTGAGACAGTGGTGGATTTTTGTTCTATATACATACATTCTAACAAAAGGGTTCTCACAATATCAGGAGACTTGTCAATGTCACTTGAGTCGAACGCCATCTCCACAAGATAACGGTCAACTCGATTATGGCAGTATCTCCGAAAAGAGTTTATAAGTCAACACAAATACTAATGGCAACGAAACCCAAGGAAAAACAAATGACAACAAAGCAGAAAAAGATATTGACCAGCCTCCAATTACAAAACCAGTTGACATGTATCCCACACAAGTATGCTAAAAAGTAAAATTTAAGTTGAGACGGTGGATTTTTGTGCTATATACATATTTGTTTAAAAAATTGAATAAAACTTTGAATTCATTCAATTTTATTTTTGGACACTTTAGCATGTGAAATGCACATCTATATTTAGCACGAAAATTCATCTATATTGGGTTTGGGTGTATAACGTGCACTGTTTTTTTCAGTGTACTGTGACCATGCTTCCTAACAGGGGTCCTTCTGGGTGTTGCCAAACTGCATAAACAATTTTGTAAAAGTTTCGTGTAGAAGGCTGGAAGGAGTTCTGCAAGAAAGTGCTATGACCAAGAAGAATTACTATCAACGACTTCTTACGTAATATAATCTTCAGAACATTTCCAGCATAGTTAGCGATAATTGAGGATAGAAAAGTAATATTTATCATTTACTTATGAATCACTCTGATTGTTAATGATAATGCTAACCTTTTTCAATCAGATATAGAAGCACTCTTTGGTCATAAAGGTGCAGAGGGCACAAGCACTGAAATACAATTTCGGCAGGGCACATTACAGGCAATACGTCCACCTATGGTACACAGCTGTCCTAAATACCTTGTAAGCTGCTTTATGGCTATATTTCTTTCATTTTACATGTTTCATAATATTTAGTGAATAGTATTTGTTTTATGCATTTACTCTCTCTCTCTCTCTCTCTCTGATACGCACCTTTGTAAAATCAATAATTGTGCCCCTCTGCATACACACTGCATACATGGCCATAATATTTTTTATATAAAATGTTTCCTCCAGCAGGAAAGTGCTACATCCCTATCGTTTAATGCCAACACGTCAACACATGCGCACCAAGCAGCAAGTTCACCACGAGAAAAACCTTTTCATGAACTAAACGCAACGGCTTTGGACAAAGATCGCGTTTCAGACAGTTCCGGATTAAAGAATGATGCTCTATCAAAAGGGTTCTCACAATATCAGGAGACTTGTCAATGTCACGTGAGTCGAACGCCATCTCCACAAGATAACGGTCAACTTGAATGTGGCAGTATCCCCGAGAAGAGTTTACAAGACAACATAAATATCAATGGCAACGAAGCACAAGATAGAACAAATGACAATAAAGAAGAAAAAGATATTGACCAGCCTCCAATTACAAAAATAGTTGGCACGTGTCCCGTGCCAACATCTGCAGTATTGTCACCTATTCCTCGCAAGAATTCCGAAGATACCACCACTAGAATAACCACTATCGAAACACAGAATGATGACATGAACCATAAAGCTTCATGCGATTGTGACACAACCACAGCCGAAAAAACAGGCACATTCAGTGAGAAAGTATCTTTTCTTCCTGCTGAAACAGTTGGAAATGATGCAGATTCTGACAAAATTCCACCAGTAAGCATGTACAACACCCAGGATAATTATCCTGAAAAAGTATCTTTTCTTCCTGCTGAAACAGTTGACAATGATGCAGATTCTAACAAAATTCCACCAGTAAGCATGTACAACACCCAGGATAATTATCCTAAATCAAGCACTGGTTTGAGTTTTGGCACTAACGGTCATTTGAAATTTCCCCCAACCCAACCCGAAAACAAGTGTACAGAGTCAAAAACCAATACAGTTAGCATCAGTGCAAACAATGAGGTAATGGACGCTGAAGATGAATCAAGTGTAAATAGTGCCGACAAAGATGGACGTAATACTAACCAGAGTCCAGTTACTTTTCCAGTCGATAAGAACACGCCAACATCTGAAATTCCTTCCCCAGTTCCTTTCAAAGGATTAGAAGACTCTGCCATGGGCTTATGCAATAATGAAACACCTTTAGCAATTACCGCAGATATTTTGAACAATAAATCCCCATCCGCTTGTGACACAGCCGCTCCATTATCCGCTGCTAATATCCAGACTGAAGATGAAAACACAGGCACATCCAGTGAAAAAGTATCTTTTCTTCCTGCTGAAACAGTTGGAAATGATGCAGATTCTGACAAAATTCCACCAGTAAGCATGTACAACACCCAGGATAATTATCCTGAAAAAGTATCTTTTCTTCCTGCTGAAACAGTTGAAAATGATGCAGATTCTGACAAAATTCCACCAGTAAGCATGTACAACACCCAGGATAATTATCCTAAATCAAGCACTGGTTCGAGTTTTGGCGCTAACGGTCATTTGAAATTTCCCCCAACCCAACCCGAAAACAAGTGTACAGAGTCAAAAACCAATACAGTTAGCATCAGTGCAAACAATGAGGTAATGGACGCTGAAGATGAATCAAGTGTAAATAGTGCCGACAAAGATGGACGTAATACTAACCAGAGTCCAGTTACTATTCCAGTCGATAAGAACACGCCAATATCTGAAATTCCTTCCCCAGTTCCTTTCAAAGGATTAGAAGACTCTGCCATGGGCCTATGCAATAAGGAAACACCTTTAGCAATTACCGCAGATATTTTGAACAATAAATCCCCATCCGCTTGTGACACAGCCGCTCCATTATCCGCTGCTAATATCCAGACTGAAGATGAAAAGATTTCACCACCGGGTCCTGAACAGACAGGTTCAGAACGAAATTCATGTGACAATGAGAAAAAAGCAAGAGCATTTAGCTCTGAAACCGGTGCATTTTCTAATACAGGAATAAGCATCGACAACACCCCGGATAATTATCCAAAACCAAGCACCAGTTCGAGTTTTGGCACTTACCGTCATTTAAAACCTCCCCAAACCCAACCCAAAACCCAATGTATATGTACAGAGTCAGAAACCAGTGCAGTTGGCACCAGTGTAAACAATGAGGTAATGGCAACCGAAGATGAAACGAACGGAAATCGTTCCGACAACAATGGGTATGATATTGACCAGCCCCCAGTTAATAATGTAGTCGACAATCATCACACATCAACATCTGAAATTACTTCCAGTAGTCTTTGCCAAGGTTCCAAAGTTCCAGCCACGAGCGTAAACAATAATGAAACGCCTTTGGTGATTGCCACACGTGTCCAGAAATATAACCGCTCAACTGCTTCTAACACAGCCACGGCAGTGCATGTAACCGATGCTGATATTCAGGCTAAAGACGTAAGCGACTCACGACAGGGCACTAGGAAGACAGGGTCAGAACAAAATTCAGCTGACAGCTTGAAAAATGACAGAGCAACCAAATCTGAAGATAAGATCTGTGGAAACCAAGTTGGCAACGAAAAAGTAGAACGGAAGTGTCCTCATGTTATCATTAAAAATGGGCTCAGCCATTCTACACACGAAACAGCTACCGCAAGTGAGGTCCCATTTAATAAAAAGGAAACTGCAGATGTGCATGGATACGATACGACAACATCTTCAGAAGTCGCCGAGGCATTCATGAACAAAACGGTTTCATCATTTTCTGCAAGCAGCAACAAGACCCATGATTGTGCAGTTTTGACGGTGTCAGCACACAGTGCACTTGGCACCAGTGAAATTCACGAGGTAATGGGAGCTGAAGTGGAAACGAATGGAAATCGCGTGCACGACGCTGGGCATGATACTGATCATCCTAAAGATACCAAACCAGTTGACAGTTATCACGTACTAACACCTGAAAGATATTTCGATATTCCTAGCAAGGATTCAGAAGGTCCAACCAAAGGAATATCCAATGATAAATCGTCTTTAAAGAGTCATGTAGGTGTCGAACAAAATAAAACAACAAATAATTGTCATGCAGCTACAGCAGCACCTTCTATCACTCCAGCAGTACATGCTCCAGCAGTAACCAGCACCAACATCCAAGACAGTGATCGAGACATGGACAAAGTTCCAGGTTCTAGCGCTACTCATACAATAAAATGTAACGCAAATATACGTGAAGACCAGTGGCCACGCGACAGTGCAGCTGGCATCAAAGGAAATCACGAGGAAATTGAAACTGATAAAACAAATGAGAATGAAAATAGCGGTGATAAAGATGGCCATCGAACTAAACAACCTGCACCTACCCGACACTCAAACTTTGGTTCAAATATTTCTCCAAATCACCCTGTAGACAAAACAACTCGCGCTACAGGATTTGATGTTAGTGTAATGGAGATAAACGAACACAACAATGCAATCACTCCTAGGTATACTGGAATATCATGTCAATGTAAAGAAGTTAAATATGAAAAAGAAACCAGTGGGATGGACGAAACTGCAGCCCCACAACCATTCGGCGAGAAAACTCTGCCAACAGAAGATGAATATAACGATGTTCGAACTGCGAAGGAAGTCTCTCAAGGAGCGAATGACGAACAGTCTGCTAAAATACTCCAAAGTAAGGTACATTCAGATGATCAGCACAGCCGTGCTAATATGACCTTGCAAGAGCCTTCCAATACCTTTTCAAGAGCCCTTCACCACGTCCAAAATACCAAAATCCCTAAAGAAGACCTAGATATTGACAAAGATAAACCGAAAGATAGAGTGGGCAAAAGTGAAGATAAAGAAAGTGGTAAAGCGGCGAAAAGCCAGATACCGCCTAACAGTGATGATGAGGGAGTAGCTGAGGATAGAAAAATAGGAGAAATCGAACAGTCTTTAAGCAGTTCCCAAGGATTACCCCTTGATAACGCTTCAAATAAAAGGAATGTATTTCCTCCCATCGAGGATAGCGAAAAAGATGTCAAAATAGTGACAAAACGTTTTGGAATCATAGGTGATCCTGATAAAGGCAACGATCGATCTTGCAACGTTTCTTCACCTCTAATCCACAAAACGGACACCAATAAAGAAACAAAGACAGATTGTGTGGAAAATGCGTCAGGTGAAGATCCAAGTGAGATCACGGGAGCTGAGATGAATGGCATGACAGCCAATGGTGTGCTAGAAAGACCAGCAAGTGATAATGTCGGTAAAACACAGGAGACTAATTTACCGAACACTGGTTTGTTCCTTAAACCGACCCAAGTCAACACACCTGTCTCCCATGTTGGTTTGCCGTCACGCTATACTGGCAATAGCGATCCCGACCATGGGTCTCCTAAAAGCTCCTATGGAGTTAATACCGCCTCCCCACGTTTAGAGGATTTTTCTGAGGATGAGCTACAGCGTCAGATCATCTCAGATACATGTATGAAGATAGAGTACCTTGCTGCAAAAGCCTCTTCCAACCAGAAGGAGGCAACAGAGACATTCACTGGATTAAATTCAGATATTTTGCTTTACATTCATCATATTCACTCCGAAGGAATCGAAAATATTCTTAAAGGCGGAACAAGTGTCGTATGGCAGGTGCATGCTACTCAAAGCACAGGAACGATTATTTTGACTGCCCGTGATCAGGCCACCTTAGACGCAGCTGCTGAAGAATTTATCCAGATATACCAGAAGTGCTTCGAATATGTAAACATAGTCACCATACCAATATCGAAAAAATGCTGTGATAAAATAATTCATTTTTGGCAAGCTCCTATGCATGCTGTGAATAAATTTATGTCCAAATACAAAAACACATACGTTCATGTTGACTGGAATGGCATTAGACTCATGACCCAAGGAGATAGGTGCTCTACTATGGCCAAGGAATTTGAACTCACTGAGCTCTTAAATATCCCGTCGTTGGATTGGCAACCGATTAAACGAAACAAGCATCCAGCAGATGGGGACAAAAGTGGAGGTATGCCGAAAAGCCCGTCAACCAGCGGCTCCTTAACTCAGCAACCTAAATTTAGAACCAAAGAAGGAATAATGGTTTCTATATACAAAGCGGACATCACGACTGTTGAGGTAGATGCAATAGTCAATGCAGCTAATGAATATCTGCAACATGGCAGGGGCGTGGCACGGGCCATAGCAGATGCTGCGGGTACACATTTTGAATCCGAGTGTCAAGAAACATTGAAGAGACATGGTGGCCTAAGGACAAGTGAAGTGCTAGTGACTTCAGCAGGAGGTCCAGATAGCAGGTTGAAATGCAAAAATGTATTTCACACGGTTGGTCCGCGGCGACAACAATACAACGATGACACAATCTGTTATAGAAAACTGCGAGAGGCTGTCTTCAACTGCCTGATGAAGGCCCATGATTATGGAATGAAGTCCATTGCAATACCTGCCATTAGTTCAGGTACGTTACATTACTGGTGATACCCGATGGAAAAAGAAAGATAATTCGTTGGTTTTTCCATTTTGTTTTCTTTGCCTGTATTTACATTTTTCAATTATATCCATAATTTAAATGTTTTAAACGAACTTTTCATTTCATTATCATTATTATAAACTCATTTATCAATTTATTTATTGTAATTTACCTTCTAATAATTTTATTAAAATGTCTTTCTATGTTATAGGAATCTTCGGAGTGTCGATACAGATTTGTTCAAATGCCATGTTTGATGCTGTAACGGATTTTAGTCGGCAAATCGGACCAAAGACAACGCTACAACATGTACTTTTTATTGACTTCAACTCAGACGTACTTGGTCTTTTGATGAATGCCTTTGCTCCGGGTAGGATTGAAAGTGGAGGGACTTTGTCCAAAGCAGAAATTAACCCCATGAATGCTATGACAAGAAATGACAAGAAATCTGAGGAATCGACAACGCCTGAGAGTGTCCCTTGTGCAATTTGTTTTGACGAACCAACCAACCCGATCGCACTAAGCAAATGCAATCACGTTTTCTGTAAGGAATGCATTGACAACTGTTTTAAACTTCACAAACCTGCTTGCCCGACATGTGGTACTTTATACGGAACTTTGACGGGAAATATGCCAGAGGGCACAATGACGGTATCTAAGGAATGGGCTCCCCTTCCGGGACATGGCGGTTTCGGGACGATTGTCATCACTTACAGCTTCAGTGGCGGCATTCAGCAGGTCAGCGTTGCAACTTACAACCATATATATATATATATATATATATATATATATATATATATATATATATATATATATATATATATACCGCGCGAATAGATATTTGTATGTAGACACAATGGCTCTGGGATGAGTTGAATGTTTTTTTGTATTGCTTCAGTTGCAAGTTGATACATTAAACAGTTTATGTGATACAAGTATTATTTGCTGGACATGCTCAAATAACTAACTGATTCGTTGTCAGCTGTCGTCTGAACACCATGTGAATGTAATAACCATTTTCTTTTTAATTTTATTCTTTTTCAGGACGACCATCCGAATCCAGGTCGTCATTACAGGGGTACGACTCGAGTGGCATACCTGCCAGATTCTCCAGAAGGGAGGAAGGTGCTAAATCTTTTACAAAAAGCGTTTGACAAGCGTCTTACATTCACCATAGGGAGGTCGACAACGACTGGTTTAGAGGATCAGATTACGTGGAATGACATACACCATAAGACAAATAAACACGGTGGATCAACTGGGTAAATATACAGTAGTATGATAAACGCTCAGTTCATTTCTCATACAGACTCAGTCGCAATGTATGCGTATACGACCGTATTTCGGTTCGTGTCGACGCCAATGGCATCGACGTCCGAAACATCAGTCCTTATATAAAATAATATATTATGTTTTACTCTACATTTCATTGTGTGGCTTTGTTTGGTTAAAAGGAATGTTTCTTTCGAAACTCAGCATAATAGAATTTTTATTTTTTATATATATTTTCATCTTTATTTTTAGTACGTAACAACTTTTGCTGTTTTGTCTCTATACATTTACCAGCTTTGCTGTCTAGTTTTATTTCGCATTTTTAACAAGTGAAAAAGGGGGTATCTTAATTCACTAAAAAAAAAAGGAAATTCGAGTTGGAATATATTTGTTTTTTAAACATTTCTGTCAATTATCATTTAGAAAAATAAGAATGATTTAGAGAAGAAACGTACATATAAACCAGTATCACTTCTATTTTTAGATTTGGTTATCCGGACCCAGACTATTTGCGACGCGTACAAGAAGAATTGAGAGCAAAAGGCATTGAATAGTTGAAATAAGTCCTTACATGACCAGTATCTACGAGAGCCCAACATACAATTCCAGACAAAATTAACGTCTTGGTGCGTTCTCCGAGACCCTTTATTTCATTCCAGTACTAATGGCCAGCAGGACTTTCAGTTGTAGGGCATCTATCCAATATGGCCGTGTCGTCTCTTTGACTTGAAATTGAGAAAAGTGAATACAACACATTGAAAGGAAAACTTGCATCCTTGGGGTAGATTTCATTGGGTAAATACCATAAAAATGTATTCACGGCAAGTGGATTTTTACTTATATATTTAAACGAAGTCAACGTATTTAGTCGGAACTGAAGTGTAAATGATTTGATAATTTCTTTTTCTTTTTTGGTGTACATAATCCACTGGATATATTTCAAAATTCCTCATAGCACATCAGCTGGAGAAGGAATCAGTAAGCAACTTGTGTGATATATAGGTAGTTTAAACATCAATGCAACATTTAGCAGCGATTACTGATACTGATAATTGATACCAAGAAACATTTAGTGAAATGTTTTTGGTGAACATCATGGATATTGTAAGAAGTTGCAAAATGGAAAATCTTCATTTTTTATGCAAACAAAGTTTTAATTGGTAGTGTTAAATTGTCATTAGACACTCTAATCAATACAATTTATGATTCTATAAATTTACTTTTATTATAATAGGAAAACTTCTAAATAATGAGCCACATGCATCGTTTGTAATGGAAGTTTTTATTTGACAGTGATTAACTGACATCATTTTTTCACATGAATGCCTTTGATATAAAGATATAGAGCTACTCAGTAGCAGATAATTTATTCTGGGGTCACTATCCAAATATGACCACTACTTTAACAACAAATTATACAGTGACTAGTGTTTAACTATATTTAAGACAAAAATTTGATGAGCTATGATATGATTGAAATCGATGAAATAGCTTGTAATGAAGGAGAAATTCCTAGACTTTGCATTATCAAATGAAATAATAAAAATTGCACATAGATATAAATATATGGTGTAAATAATGCATGAAATATTTGAAGTAGTTAACTATTCCAAACACTAGTTAGCTGCCAACTGAAAAAAAATTAGAAAAATAAGTGACATTATTTTTAAGCATCATTTCAACTGGTGTGATCCTTAAATATATAATCTTAATCACATTATGAAAATAAAACATCTTTATTCCACACAATTTGGAATGTGCACTGGTGTAATCTGCCAAACTACCAAAGGATCTTGTTAAAATAATTTATCTTAAGTGATTTGCTCTTGGAGCACTTCATCAACTTCTTACAGTCACAATTAACTAAAAATATAAATGCATGCAGTGAAGACCATGGATTGCTTGGATACACTACACTTAAAGAAAGCTTAAGAGACAATTTAAGAATATTTGGATTTCAACAGGGAGAAACATGCTTTCAAGATATTCCAATACTTTTATTCTCTGATGTAAAAGAACAAGATTAAAATAAGCAATCTACCTGCAGTGATATCACAACCATGCACACATTAAAGCAACCATTTTTTTTAAATTGGAGTTGATCAATAAGCACATGAGTATTCTGGTTAGAATAATTATCCCTGATAAAATTGTATTGAGGAAAAACAAACTTTCTCCAAGTCAATTCATGTTAATAAATCATTCTGTGTGGAAGAGTCATTTTGCTCTTGTCGAGAAGTAGAAGCAATATTCAATATCTTTTCTGCAGCAGAAGCCTGCTCTGCTCGTAATCGTTTGTAAGGACATTTGAAACATGTGACAAGGAAAATGGCTCCTACTGCAGCTACACAACACAGGAAAATATCAGGATCTGGAAATATTGAGAAAATATATAGATTACTATATGCTAATTTGAAACACAGAATAGTAAGGAGGCTATTTCATGGCAATTAACATGGCTTATTTCTATACATTTACACAACTAGGAGTCTACAAAAAGGCTGGCAGATTCTGGAATCTAGTATTAGGATCCAATAACAACATATTTCACTCACAGGTATAATCCATTGGTGGGGTAGGTTCAACTTTACTGACTTTGCAGGCTTGTAAATTATTTACTGGCAACTCCACTGCTATAACCTCCATAACAAGGACAAATATTATACCCTGTATCTGCCTAAATAAAATAAATATGACATATTTATGTTATCATAGTTATTCTAAAAATCACATCTTCATTCATTATGACATTTTTAAAAGTAAATCATTAAATTTTTTTACATGAAATGTTTACTTCTCATGTTAATGCGTTATTACACAAAGAAAAGTTTGTGACTTCTGCAGCTACTCAAGACCATCTTTCCAGCTGTTTCTTATTTTATTCTGTGAACTTTTTACTTCTGTGGCAGGTATCAATTAGTTAAATAGAATTCAAGAAAAAGTTTGAAATAAGCATAATCAATGCAAAACAGTAAAGCAATACAAATGGTATACATTAGATGTGTGCATTCAGCCCTTACCCTGAAATTAACAGAAAGCCTGCACTGGTAGCTTCTGCCACAGGAAATGTTGTCTCAACAGCCAGTTCCAGACATACAGGGTACAGGGCAAACCCAAATATTCCAAACAATGCTATAGAAATTCCAATCCAGACAGGTATGTCATACATTCTTGCTGTCTGCAACATTGTAAAAAGAAATTTTAAGAAACCCACCTTCAAAAGGTAGTACTCAATATTTTGGCATATTCATGCCATTAAAGTTTGTTTTGAAATTTAATAACTTCATTTATCTGAAAAAATTCTGTTATATCATGATACGCAATCATAAAATTTAAACATCTGTAATCTTTATACAAGAGTAAAATTAAAAGAGTATAATTTGTCATACATTGAAATTATTCTACAAGCTGACAGCAAAGACAAAGTAATCATCATGTGCCTAGGGTGCATCAACAGTACTTTTTTTCTTACCAATGAAAATGCTACACAGGCTGCAGCTGCCATACAAAAACAGAATTTGGCCACCTCCTCAAATTTTTTGGTCTTGTCTACAAATAAGCTGAAGCCTGCAGCTCCTATAATACCACAGCCTATGAGGAGTGCCCCACAGATACCAGCAAAGTTCTAGAGAAGAAAATTCTTCGTAGAATCCACCTCTAATAGTTTACACCAGTTTCTGACTTTACAATACTTTTTTCATTATATGATACATGGTATGATATAATCAAACTTTTTTTTTTGGCTATACATCTTAAGACAGTTTTTAATGCATGACATTGGTCTACTCATAAATCAGTTATGGTAATTCAAAGTTGACTTAAGTTACTAATAAATACTTCTTAAATACACAATGCACTCTCTTGTAAAATCGTTATTCCTACGCATATCAACTCACATCATCATATCCCCATGGACAGAGGATCTGTTCTATTAATGTGGTCAGTGAGTTGAATAAGCCAAGTCCTGCTCCAAAACACACAGTCAGCACCCAGTATTGCTTGTTCTTGGCAATCTGACATAACCAAAATATAAATAATAATCTATTTTCTTCTATCTCTACCACTGCTAAGAGATAACTGATATCCTTTACAGTAAATATCAACAGCTTAACAAATTACTATAAACAGTTTGAAATATCAATCCCAAGATGTGTCATTTTGTATAAAGCTAAGTTCTTTTATTTGTAATAACTGACAATATTTTATGTAATTTTATCTGGCATATGAATATTACAATTCATAACCAAACCTGCTTCAGTCCAAGAAGGAAAGGTTCAGATTCTCTCTCAGCACTGGCAGTTGGAGGAGTGGGAGGTGTAGAGCTCCACACACCAAATGTTGCCATGACTACAGCTACTAATGCTGGACCTAAGAAAACTAAATGCTGAGGGAAGAAAGTTTTAATTTAATATACAGGACAAATGCTTGTTTGAATATTAACAATATCAGATTTAATCACATCCAGTACTGTTCTCATAATATTGTGCGCATATAATGCACTTATACTGACAGCAAACTTTGAACATCCAAGGCACTGAAACATCTACTTTAATTGCAAAGGCCAGTGATAAAACCACGTAAAGATTATGATATAAAGAAAATTACTTAAACATGACCTGTTAATTAATCCTATAACTTGAAATGATAAAGATATTACCTAACACAAATTTTCAAAAAGATTCTAACTGTATTGGTTTTTTTGCACCTACCATTGTTAAAAATCCACTACTTCCCTGTATCACAGGAGACAACACATTGGCAACAAGAATACCTAGAGGGTTAGCTGGAACAAATCAAAAAGCTGTAAGTAAACTTTAGTCAATAAAATATGTGGTGCTTAAGTTGATTTATAAGGCATTAAAAGACATGTTATTTTAAATCATTATCCTTTTAAATGAAAAGATAATTATATTAGCTCACACAATTTCCAAAATTTAAACCAAACTGTTAAAAAAGTCCATTTCAATTAAAGGAACAAATCACCATACCCCTTCCAGCAAATCTAACATCTTTTTCTTTTTTTCCTAATCTGGCAACATAACCAAAGCAAAGATACTGTTAGTGTAAAAAAACAAAGTATTTTATTTTTAAATGAATAAATCAAAACTCACACATAGAGGCAATCATATTAGCAATGGCTCTTTGGTCATCTCTAAACCATAGTGCTGCTAGTTTTGTTGGAGCAAAGAGTACAAATGACTGGGAACAAGCTGCTACAGCCTGCCCACCCATCAGGACAGGAAATCTGAACTTTTGATCCACCATGCTGATGCTGCTCACCACTCTGAGAGCTGCCCCTATACAGTTGATCCATGCTCCCAAGATAATCTAATAAACAAATAATTTTCTTGTCACAAATTGTGAATGATTTTCTATTTAAAACATGATTTTATCAGCAATATTATGAAGATAATATTGCATGGAAGTAAGTAGTCTAGCTATCATAACTATTATTAATATTTACTCAGTGGCTGAATGACATTAAATCTGATATTTTTGGACAATTCAAACTGAAAATCTGTTATTACATTTTGTGATAATAAGGTGACAAATGTACAAAACTAAACCACAATCTAATCAAAACAGCTTACTAACAAACAAAAGGAATACAATTTGGAAGTAAAAGTTAATTCAATCCTTCAGCAGTAATGTTACTATCTTTAAAATCAGTTATACCCCAGCTCTTAGTCCAAGAGTATCCAATAACCATGTGGCACTTAGTCCAAAGGGTATGCTGGCCACAAGGTAAACCAGTGATAGCCAGTTCACGCCATTTAGACTAGTTTGATAGTATGTAGCAGTCTCATCAGCTATGGGTGAATACGTGATCCATATCTAGAATAACAAAAGAAAGACTGAGGTAAAAAAATCTAAACAATTTTAACTTTTATAATCATAAAATGGATTTGATAAAATCTACTAAATCATAAAATGATGGACATTACTTTCAACCCCAATCTCACCATGTGCGGGTTTGGCACATCTAAACAAAGGATTCCGATTCTTATCATACACTTTGTAATTCATAGGCCAATTGCCAGAAAATAAAATTTGATGAGGAAAAGCAATTTCTACAGGGAGAAGTAAGATGGGGCATTGGGACCTTAATTGAGCATTCTGCCCAAACCAACCTTATCATAAAAATAAAGTCTGGGAAAATTCAGACAGCCTGGTGATAATATACATATCTATGTTTGTTCCAGGACCATACTTATAATAACTCCCTTCAAGTCCAGTACTTAGCATACCAGTATACAGCATGTACTATTTATTGGGAGCAATACCAGTAATCCAGTATCTGGTGCTATGAACTCCCCAAGGCTCCACATAGGCCAGTTGTATATTATATACTACATAGAAATTATCAGTAATTTGCTAGCATTCTACTTTCGCAACTTCTGAATGTCACTGTGCACTGCGGTAAATGTACATGTTTATGTCATGCCAAAACACTGTATATACTTGGTACATGTACATCTTGTGGTTCATTGTTGGGATTAACAAGAATGGAAAATACTGTAACACGTTTTGAGTTAGTTCAGCAAAGTCCTATTTCAAAACATAAATGAAATTAACCTGGAAATAATTGTGAAAATGAGCTTGGGAAAGATTTAAATGTCACACTCGCCAAACATGCAGTCTTGTTAATACTGGCTTAACACTGAAAAAAAGTCATCAAAATTATACCATTTACCCCAGTGGTTTTAGTTCTCTCAAATTTTGTTTTTAACCTCGATATTTTAAAGGCACCACATAGATTAGTTTAGAAAAGATATTGACAATCAAGACTCATTAGGGGGAGGGATACTGCAAAAGTGCCGATTTATCTCGTTTAATTTAGCAATTTAAAACCACGCATTTGTATTGACAAAGTGCAACCACATGAACATTAGTCATAATTTGCAAAAATAACTATCATTACCATTGCATTTGATATGTTTAGCAGACAAACAACCACCAGCATAAACCATCTTCTAGTATAAACTTTGTACTCAGTCCTATCCGAAGAACTGCTGCTGAGGAGGGGTTGTCGCTCCCCCTCCCCTCTTTCCTCTTCCAACATGATTCTAAAATATGGGTCAGGTCAAATTTCATGGTCAAGGTCGATTAAATTCAAAATAATGAACCACGATGACAGTTTCGGTTTCCTTGCATTTGAGATACGTAATGATAGTTTAAATTGCTTGAATTTCGTTTAGACAAAATGTATTATTTTGCTTTGAGCTGAAACCGCACAATGTGTCTTAAAGTTTGTTACTGAGCTTAAAACTGGCACGATTTTTCCGCCTTTCGGCCTAACTCTTGTTAGAGAAATAAAAATGGCTGCCTCCATGAAGAGCCTGATTTCGGGTCAGTAATTATTTCGGTTTGTTCTATTTAAAGGTTAGCTTGTATTCTGTGAAGAGGACAGTTAGAATTTGATGCAGGGGAAGTTTCAAACACCATGGAAGCTATTGATGTTTTCTTATTGTCTATGATAGACACATAATGTTTTAATTTTTATTCTGCTGGTCTCTTTTTTTATGTACTAAAATAACTAAATTGAAAGATACAGGTGCGCGTAAATATAAAATGACAGTAAGCTAGCCACTTAGCTTGTCAGGAGCTCTCAAATTTTTGCCCACCCCTTGCACCTCCCCAAGTCGCCTACTGTTGAAAAGCCTGTTTGCCATTAATTATGCTGTGAATAAGGTAGTTTTCATCTGCTCATTTACCAATGCATTAACACACCTATTCATGTCTTCAATAAGTGTACAATTTCATGGTGGCATAAATATGCATGCTAGCTTTTGGAATGTGCACTTTTTTTTTTTTTTTTTTTTTTTTTTTTTTTATAATAATAATCTTTATTGGAGAATGGCAACCCGAAGGTTGAAGTTATACAATTACATATATATATATGTGAATATTTAAGTCAAGGAAGCCTGGTCATTTTTGCACTGGTGCACTCCTTAGACGGTCTCACCTCCCTGGGGAGCATACAGCTCGGCTGCCATATTAGGCGCTCATAGCTAATATAACATTTCTGCACTGCCTGACCAGGCCCCTGCTTCAACCCCTTAGTGCTGAGTGCCAAGCGGAGAGACAGCAGGTACCATTTATGAAGGACTGGTATGTCCCCGGACGGGATTTGAACCCACGTCCTCCCGCTCCGGAGGCAGACACTCTAACCACAAGGCCATCCGCCACTTTTATGAAATAGTTTGTTTATAAGCATGAACATTTGTTTGTTGCCATGAAAGTGTATAAGTTTTACTTTGTCTCATCCCTGTTTGCCTCTGACCAGTCAGCATTGAGCAAAGTATTTTTAATTAATGCAACATTTCTTTTTTTTATTTTACTCATATTTATTATTTATTTTAACAAATATTTATTACATTTAACTTCTTATGTTATAGTTAACTTTTTATAACATTTTAGGAATGAAAAACATTGGTATGAAGATATTTTCCTCACCTGGTAATTGTTTGCCAACATATGCACAGATGAGGATAGCAGGAAATTACACAAGTCAGTGCATGCAGCAGTTGAGAACTTTTTCATTCACCAGTAATAAGCAAATAATAAAAAAGTAAGTACATTTCCAGTACTTTGCTCTGGCAAAATATTTAACCATAAACCTGGTTGAGGTTAAGGACTTTTTCATTTACCAGTAATAAGCAAATTATAAAAAGTAAGAACATTTCCAGTACTTTTTTTCTGGCCAGATATTAAACATAAATGATTTCAGATTTTATTCAAATCATCACAGACGGAGTTCCGATCAATGATTAATTAACCAATTTTAATGAAATTTTGCTAAAATTTTTAAGTGATTACCTACAGGACATGTAATAATCCATATCTCAATTCGAAAAATTATAAAAAAAATATTTTGAGTGTTATATACAAGAAATAAAAAAATTCTATCTGTATTGCAAATGTTCACATTTTTCAAGTCCTGGTCCCTACATATCCTATATCAGTGATACCTGGATTGTTGGTTCAAGTACTGAACATTACTTTTTTTCTTTTACAGACCTTTACTTCAGCCTCAGATTCCCATAATGGAAAGCTGTCGAACCAAAACCATTATTGACAGGAGGCGAGGTAGAGCTCATGGAGTTAAAGCTGTCAGAGACAGATTCTTTCGCTTAGAAAATGGTTTGTGGATCCGCACCATGGCAGGAAAGCATCGGAAACTTTGGGCTAAGTCAGAACGTAGAAAGTTCAGGCTGCGTCAGCATGTTTTTTGTAATAAAACTCAGTGTAAATTACTGGACAAAATGGCTGGACCATATTATGCAAAGAAAAGATATTTCCCAGAAGATCCATATGGGCCATATCAAAAACGCTATGGAATGAGTCACATATTTTATGAACCTCCAAAGTTCCTTCCATGAGGTTCTTTTGATTTGTGGGAAAACGTTTTTGGAAATTTAGACACTTCAAGGTACCNAAAAAACTGATTCAACTAGAATAGGCTACACTAAACCTTATATTAAACTAACTATTATTTAGGGGGATATGAAAACTGCATCGTCAGTTAATCTAGGTTTTATTCAGCATGGATGCAATTTTCATATCCCTAGCTTTAAAACAATCATAAAGAAAATTAGTTGTGCATTTTGCAATATCAAAATCATTACATTGCAGTACGGTAATAAAAAGGTCACTGATGGACTCTGGGCCTGCACTGCCCAGTATATCTTTAACCTGGTTAAGGAAAATGGCTCTTAGTGGAGCATAGGAGGGGCATATCATCATAAAATGGAACTCATCTTCAACTGACCCCATGTTGCACACCGTGCATAGCCTTTTCTCTATGGGTATTTTAGGATTCATGTGTCTCCCCTTTTCAATTGCCAAATTGTGGGCACTTATCCTGAATTTGCAAAGGAATGTAGATTTGGGTTTGTGGATTATTTGTATATTTCTCTTTTAAAATCTTTAACACACCTATTCATGCATTAACACACCTATTCATGTCTTCAATAAGTGTACAATTTCATGGTGGCATAAATATGCATGCTAGCTTTTGGAATGTGCACTTTTATGAAGTAGTTTGTTTATAAGCATGAATATTTGTTTGTTGCCATGAAAGTGTATAAGTTTTACTTTTTCTCATCCCTGTTTACCTCTGACCAGTCAGCATTGAGCAAAGTATTATTAATTAATGCAACATTTCTTTTTTTTATTTTACTCATATTTATTATTTATTTTAACAAATATTTATTACATTTAACTTCTTATGTTATAGTTAACTTTTTATAACATTTTAGGAATGAAAAACATTGGTATGAAGATATTTTCCTCACCTGGTAATTGTTTGCCAACATATGCACAGATGAGGATAGCAGGAAATTACACAAGTCAGTGCATGCAGCAGTTGAGAACTTTTTCATTCACCAGTAATAAGCAAATAATAAAAAAGTAAGTACATTTCCAGTACTTTGCTCTGGCAAAATATTTAACCATAAACCTGGTTGAGGTTAAGGACTTTTTCATTTACCAGTAATAAGCAAATTATAAAAAGTAAGAACATTTCCAGTACTTTTTTTCTGGCCAGATATTAAACATAAATGATTTCAGATTTTATTCAAATCTTCACAGACTGAGTTCCGATCAATGATTAATTAACCAATTTTAATGAAATTTTGCTAAAATTTTTAAGTGATTACCTACAGGACATGTAATAATCCATATCTCAATTTGAAAAATTATTTAAAAAAATTATTTTGAGTGTTTTATACAAGAAATAAAAAAATTCTATCTGTATTGCAAATGTTCACATTTTTCAAGTCCTGGTCCCTACATATTCTATATCAATGATANCCCTACATATTCTATATCAGTGATACCTGGATTGTTGGTTCAAGTACTGAACATTACTTTTTTTCTTTTACAGACCTTTACTTCAGCCTCAGATTCCCATAATGGAAAGCTGTCGAACCAAAACCATTATTGACAGGAGGCGAGGTAGAGCTCATGGAGTTAAAGCTGTCAGAGACAGATTCTTTCGCTTAGAAAATGGTTTGTGGATCCGCACCATGGCAGGAAAGCATCGGAAACTTTGGGCTAAGTCAGAACGTAGAAAGTTCAGGCTGCGTCAGCATGTTTTTTGTAATAAAACTCAGTGTAAATTACTGGACAAAATGGCTGGACCATATTATGCAAAGAAAAGATATTTCCCAGAAGATCCATATGGGCCATATCAAAAACGCTATGGAATGAGTCACATATTTTATGAACCTCCAAAGTTTCTTCCATGAGGTTCTTTTGATTTGTGTGAAAACGTTTTTTGGAAATTTAGACACTTCAAGGTACCATTAGACTTTGTGTCATTAGAATGAAACTGTTTCATTTAAATATAATTTGCTTATAATGTTTCTGGATGCATTTTTTAATACAGACCTTAGTTCTGACAAACAGTCTAATGTATAGAGAGTTGTTTATTACTCTAAGTTCTATTAGCAGATTGGTTGATTCATTATGAGACAAGAGACTGGGGTGAATAAATGTTTGTAATGAATGAAAATATTCTTTATATTGAAAGATCAATACAGCATCATCACCAGTTTTCAGTATACACAGACCTTTGTTATGAATACAAAATGCAGGATATAACTAAAACATAAATGCTATCTTCTGACTGTCAAGCTACCTTTTGCCTCAATAACTAAATGTAGCTACTTTTTTCTAGCAGTCTACAATACCAACCCTATCAACAAACATACCAGCAAATGTACCCCTGATTTTTGAACTGAACTGTTATAGTGCATTAGCTTAGTTTTGATCCAGCATGCAACGATCCACTCTTTAGTGAAATGTTATGCAAAAGGTGGTATCATCAGCAAGTTGAAGTTCACATAGTGTGCCATTGCTATCCTTTCCAATTTAGTATTGTAAGAAATTTATTTATTTTGCCATAATAAGCTGAATGATATTATAGGGAAATATGAAATACAGGTAAAGTATAGATTATTCTCTTCAATTGTTTTTCCATTTTTTCGTATTGATTATAAATTATAACCATTATCATGGTCTATTCAATCCTGAAAATAAGGAGAATTTAGTCTACAGTGAGAGGTTGTTACACCTGTATATG